TAATTTGTATATAAGTTGTATATTGTACATATTCGTTATGTGGATAATATTATGAAATCAACTTTGATAGCAATAATTTACAGTTTAGATATAATATGTTACTTTCAAGTTTTTTCAATTATATTCAATTTTATTGGTACTATCACATAAATTGAATATGCAATTTTCAAAGATATACTCGCTGTTGAATTTCTAATAATATGTTGTACATATACTGAGATATTAGCAATTTATTGAAAATCTACCTAACTTTTAAATGTTGATGTTTTCCACTATTTCTCGAAATTTTTATTGTTTTCATTGTATCGTCATTTTTTTTTACCTAGAAAAGTATGATCTGGTACTTTTTGATATTGTATGCTTAACGTGACAAGCTTATTTCGAAGTGACTTATCTTCTTTATAAGTGTTCTATTGCCAATGTTTATTTTGTGTGTCCACCTCATTTCATACATTCTGAAGTGCTCTGTGCCAAAGTTAGGTATTTGTTAAACGAATCCATATCTGTCCATGATTTCATATATACCAGTTATATTGATGAATTCTCAAGTCGGAGAGTTTCCACGAATCAGTATGCATTAAGTTTGATTGAATAAATATTGTCTTTATTTATAAATATTTCCAAAATTTCTGTTTGAATATTGCTGGTATATTACATCTCAATCTTTGCGTGAAGCTTCCAACGAAATGTGTAAATCGGTTTGCATTAATTGATATCCATGGACAACTGCACTATCGCTGATTTCATGATTAGGTTGGTCCATCAACGGCAGTAATTCGTTTCAGGGTGAACATATTCCTGACCACCGACGAAAACAGTGACGTCTATGGTGGCCCATCGTTGTCACGTGTAAAATTGAAAATAAAAAATAGTTGTAAAAAATCATAAAAATAATTGAAAAAAAAAATGATAAAAAAAATTGAAATTAAAAAACAAAAAATTGAAAATGAAAACGAAAAAAAAAAAAAATTTGCCGAACTTTTGTATTCAATTCTATATTCTCTCATCATTATTATAAATATATTACTTCTTGTTGGACTTGTAGCATGGAGAATTTATAGAACATTTTCATGTTGAATTTATTGAATATTGCTCATGAAAATCAGTAGTGAGTTAGAAACCTAGGATACACATTTGTGCGTGTAGGATTAAAGCTGACAACGTTGGTCCCAAGCAGCATCAAATTTTCTTAAAATAAAAACGCGTGACAACGATGGGCCACGAGGCGGACCATTGTTGTCAACCTTTTTATTTTCTTTTTTACCCAATTTTTTTTTTTTCAATTTTTTTTTTTTTAATTTTTTTTTTACGTTTTTTTTTGTTCTTGTTTTTATTTTTAATTTTTTTTTTAGTTTTAATTTATTTTTTATTTTTTTTTTCAATTATTTTTATGTTTTTTCACAACTATTTTTTTATTTTCGCTTTTTCATTTTTTTTTTTTCATTTTTTTTTTAAATTTTACGCGTGACAACGATGGGCCACCATAGACGTCTATTGGGCCACAATATTTAGCGTGTTATGCAACTTAATGTTTATGTGCTCGCGACGGAGGTGATTTTACAAAAATAACCTGATTTTTTCATCTAAAAATACGATTTCTGTTGCCGTGAACCAGCGTGACACATGTCAGCAAATACCCATGAATTATGCGTGCTTCCGTAGGAGGGCGCCCGAAAGTCCGCATGATCGCGCTTACAGAGGGTGTTTTTTCATATTTTGATGCTTCGAATTTGAAGTTGAACGTAAATTAATTATTCAAAATAGTGCTCTAAAATGGCTACTTGGCGAATACCACAAAGCAAAACATGGCATATGATAAATATCAACTTATAAAAGGAAATGTATAGGAATTATTCTGGTAATTTCGTTTAACCTCCGGTTCAATAGAATAATGCGCGAGATCTTTTAGTCAATTTTAACGCGAGTATAGTATAATATATTTCACGATCGAAGTCATATCCAGTGTTGCGGAAACCGTTCAACATATCTAAACCATTGCGCGGTTTGACGAAAAGGGTTTGCACCAATGTTTCACACGATGCTGCTCTGAGAGTCGAAGGGTTGTGTAAAAACACTCAACACATAGACTTGTATGCGACGAAAATAGTTCACTTTAATAAAAGTATTATTTCTGCTAATACATAAACTATCAAGCCTAATGTCTAATGATTCAAGAATAAATTAACTTAGCAGAATTAATGTGTAATATTAATATAATGACTGTATTTGAACAAGACTGTAGAAAATCTGGATAATATACTTCAGGTTAGGCGGTTTCTTGTAACCTTTATTTAGATGCGCATTTCATTAACTAAGTCAACTTCTTGTTGTCTTGTGCGACCAAATATAATTCTGATAAATTTCAACGCAGGTTTAGTATATCATGCTCAGTTCTACGGGACACGTGAAGTGACCACGTTGTTGACATATTTCAAAAAAATATTTAACAGCTTATATTCAGAACTGTTAATTAGTGGAATGAATGAGTTTATTGGTCAGGTTTACATTTCTTTCTCGTTTTTTCAAGCTAATTATGGGGTTGTTTGTGAAGCAGAACCGCAATGTCTACTTTGTTCTGTCTATGAGTGAGTCTTAATGAAATTAGAACGAGAATTCACTTACAACTATATTGGACAGCTGGATTAAATTCGCACTGAAGAAATGAGACTTAACCGAAAACGAAGGTCTTATTTTAAGGACAGAAGTAATAATAATAATTGGCGAAGTCATATGAGCGGTTAAAAGTTGTGTGTAGGCTACGTCAGTAACAACAGTCTGTTAGATACGAAGGCCGGTGCATTGGTCGATACCTTGGACAATATTATGCGTTCAAGTCGAAACTGTTCAGTAAGAAATGAGGCGTGTAACAAGACGTCTCTATCAGTAAAATTGTAAACTCTGGTTTAATTTACGGGGGACCCGATTGACATTGACAGCCTTGACTATGCCGAAACTGACGCATTCATTATCCATAGCGTAAACAATCTTTCAGAAATAAGCAGAACATGATCGACTAAGATAATTAGACAAAAATTTCTTATTTTCTACCAATCCAAAATTGGTTTCAAGGCTATTTATTTGATTGGTGTGTAGTTTAAAAACGACTGAAAATCAATTTTGGCAAAGTTGTTGAAAGTACATTGGCATAATAACACTATAACAAGACTACCACTTCGAGTAACAGTTATCTAGTGACTAGTTGATACTCAAGACAATACATCGGTCGATACTTTGGACAGCATTATGCGGATAAGTCAAAACTGTTCAATAAACCAACATCAAAATACGGAGTATAACGAGACGTTTCCATCAGTAACAGGGTGAACTTTGCTCCAATTTGCGTTGGACCTGGTTGACGGGTTTGACTACGCCGAAACTGACGCATTCATTATCCATCACGTAAATATTCTTTCGCACAACCTACGCACAACCTAATCGACTAAAAGAATTATAGTAGGATTTCTCATATGATACCAATCGAAATTTGGTTTCTGGGCGATTCAATAAGACTGGGAATTCATTTCGTCGTTAAGTTCCATTAGTGTAGCGATTGCATATGAAACACCAGTATTTGTAGGTTACATATTATTTTATATGTATTAATATTATATTTTCCAACCAAGTTACAACAATGTCAGTGCCGCAGTATGCTTCTATAACCTAGTATTTGACTTGACTGCGCGCTTAGAACATTTTGATCTCTAAGTGCATTTCGTAGCTTATTTGGTCTAAGAATATATATATAACAAAGCAGAGAAAACTATAATTAGAAAATCGGCGTATTAACGTAGTGCTTTCGTGTAAAAATGAGTAAAACGTAGTTTATAGTCACCGCGCAAAAATGTGAGGGCTCGATTACTAAGTGTGATAATTGTGTTATTAGACTCGCAATTAGGAAGGTTCCGACAATCCTGCTACTAGCGTCAGACCAACTAAGATTTGAATAGCTAATAATATTTGATCAAACAAGTGATCCAGGCTAATGCTTAACACCCCCCAGGATCAAAGTTACATCACAGTTTCATCGAATTTTTAGACTGTTGGTTTGTTTTATAGCTACAGTAGGTAATACAAGAGAACGTGAAGTTTAAATGTATGATTTAGAAAAATAATATAGCGCTCAACTAGAAACATTAGTTAACTCAAAACGTTTCAATAAATTACGTAAATTGCAGAAAGTGATATTAAGGGTTATATTTAGCAACTGTGTGCTAGCATCGAATATTCTATGTTCTGATGATGAAACTGTCAAAAAACAATTTAGCAAAATTGGCGAATGTACATTCGCATAAAACTTCAAGCATCCGATTTTTGGGAAGAAGATAAATAATAAATAAAACGTGTACGAAGTGCATGAGAAAACGGTCATTTTTTAAACCCATGAAAAATGTGTGAGTCACGATAATAATATTATATATGTTTGTTTTGTTCGTTGACTATCATTGCATTCGTGGACACCGGAAAAAAGAGCTCCAACTCACTACGCAATCTTGTGACGTATTATTCACCAACACGGTGAATTTGCTTCTAATCGTGGCGAACCCTATTGGCGGCGTTGACTATATCGAAACTGTATGACGTTTTATAAATCGCATACCTAGTATTCATCAATGTCCACAAGATTAAGGATGTTTTCAGTTAGTTTGAACCGACTTGGCAAAAGCATCGCGAGGAGGTAAAAAATTTGGTAATCCCAAAGTATGTGAACCAAGATGGCGGACACCGGAATGTAGTATGTGTACCAGGATAAGGTTAATTAATCTATAATTTTATTCCAATTTTTCTTATTTTAGTTCTATTACGAGTTCATAGACTAGCCAAGCGACTCCCGTACAGTAAATTGTACTTGAAATTATGGCCTAGCCCTAACCTGGTATACATACTACGTTCCGGTGTCCGCCATCTTGGTTCACATACTTCGGAAGTACCGAAAATTTGACCCAATCAAACCAAGATCGGTAATATTATTAGCGATCAATCCAAATTTTGTTTGTGGGCCATTCCAAGATAACAGGTGTTGACGGCTTCTTTCAGTATTGACGTATGGTCCAGGAATATATTTAGGGGCATTTCAGAACAAATCACTCAAGGTCAGCTTTATAATCGAAGGAAAAATTTCGATAACTTTTAAAGGTAAATTTCGTAACTTGTTCACGACATACCAGAGGAAAGAACTATGTTTTAATACGTGTTATTGCTTAATTTTTTCGTGCTGTGCAATCCTTGTTTTCCTAATATTTTCTTAGCATTGAGTCACTGTTGACGCATACTAAGCTTAGAAAATCGCCTAATGACTTCCTTTTACAATGTGATAGACGCACGTTATTGCTCCTATAACGCTTCGTAAGAAAATATTCATTGTATTAGATTATAACGCTTATTAACGTGTAACGCTTTATTTTTCATGCTGTAGATATATTTACTACATCGTTTTCATTACTATATTTACTGAAATGACAACAAGAAAAAACTCAGGAATAAAATGTGAGTATTTTAGGGCCATGTAAGCGGACTGCATAGCATGTACATACGAACAAATATATGGATAGGTATATTCGGACCAAGGAACTAGAAAACGATATTCATGTATAAGTACGAGGCAGGGTATCATGGAATGGGGTCACTTAATACTGCAAACAAAATTATTGAATTATTCCTTAGCAAAGTCAAACTTTGAGGAGACTCATATCAAATTAGACGTCTCGTACGCGGAACAAACGATTTTGAATATTATTATAACAATAATAGCCCATTTTTATCAACTTCGTCGTAACTCCTTAGTCTGAAATTTTGTAAAACATTTTGGTAACTATAAACAAGCGTACTTCTGTTAAATATTTGGTGAAAATTTACAAGTTTGCGATACATCCGACAGGGCATACGAATGGCCTGACGGTGATTGAAAGAAACATTGAAAATATTTATGTCATTAGTTCCATAGCCTTTTGATAATCCTGTTTTAGCGAAAATACTAACTGAGATATGTTTTACTAATAAAACCTTGCTTTTACGTAATAAAAAGATAGCAGAGTTTATTTGCCAAAACTACCTTTGACATTTGAGTTGAAGTTTGTAATGAACCCCGTTTCAGAACCGAAAAATTCTTTGTAGCGGGCTGGTATTCACTCCGTTTGATTTTCCACAGATACGCTGGTCAAACTAGGCTGTTGGAAAGACACCGGAAATAGAGCAATACCAAGCGTTGATGGAATTCTCAGCAAGATGTATGGGTCCTATCATAGCAGAAGTGACCCAATAATAAAATGTGCTGACTATTCTTGGAATCAAGGTAAAATAACTATTCTATAAATTCTACAGAGAAAATTAGTATAGTATGAACGTAATTCTAAACGTAAATTCGAATGAGTTTGGATTAAGATAACTAAAACACCTAATTCATTTGATGGAACTTCAAATATGAAAATTTTGCTCTGTCTGCGTATAGTACCAATTGAAAATCGGAGTGATGTTTAAAATATTGAATATAAAATATTTTCTCTTGCGATACGTCGATGATCGGACGGTGATAAAATACGCTGAATTTCATCTTTTGAGTTACTGGGAACCGAAATTGGTATACTAACGTTACAACCTGTGAAGGGGGTCTGAGGAGGATACATTTTTGTTTTTCTCAAGGTTTCGAAGTATTTGGTGTTCAAGATGGCGGCTGGTGTGCATCAAGCAAAACTGCGGAGCAAACGTATCAAAAATATGGTCCATCTAATGCTTGCAAGCCTGACGGAGAAGGAGGACCATGGGCAAATGAAGTATATAAAATGATAGCAGTTACTACAACCACAGGTATCTTTTTGACAACATCACGCACGGTACACTGTAGAGTCGCTTAGTGTGCTATTCAGGATTTCTATAATACATCCGTTTGACAAGATGACCATTGTAATATTCTAAGGAGCGAGGCAAGAAGTGTCGCCACAATTTTTAATTATGTAGCGCTCAAACAAACTCCAGGCAGTAATTTCGTTTTATGTAATTTGGAACCATCATTCTGAAATCTGAAGCAATTATTGGTATGCCCGGAGCGTATCAGGTTTATGACATGACTCAATAAAACTTTATTTTGGATATAGAAAACAGTGATTTAAATAAGCTTCGTTCAGAATATCAAGGTATAGCAAGTATTGCAAAGTAGCACATTGATCATTGGTATTGAACGATATTCGTGAATGTTTCCATTTACCACGGAGATTTCTGTTCTAATAGGGTCAACGATACCTACATCAACGGAAACGACCTCTGTGAGATACGTGATGACCAACCACGGTAAGAAAACTACTATGAATCAATAGGTTAGAGTTAGACTGACACAAATGATACGGAAAAGTCGACAGAAATTGCGTCCTCTGCTATCTAATAAATTATTTTATCAACAATTTAAAGATAGGTTCATCTGTTCCCGGTATACCGTGGAAACTGTGCTTGACGCTGCCATACTTACATAATGCTTTCCTCGGACTAGTTAACATAGAGAAAATCACATTTTGAATTATGGGACAGTATGATGAAGAAAACATCGCAAATAAAAATATTCATTGCCAAGTGTCTAAAACCTGAAATATTCGTAAATTGGTAAAATACTCATTGATATCTAAGCCCTGTGCCACATGGATAATCAATATGGAATAATTAGGTAATATGTGTTGTTAAATTTGTGAACCCTAAAATGTTGTGTATTTTGTTAGATACCAACGAAAACGGAACGAAACTGAACTCCACTTTGACTGCTCTTACTTCGGAAACGGACATTGTTGAAGACGGTGGCAGGGACGAGCTTGGATCAAACTCACAAACACTACAGATAGCTTTGCCAGTCGCTTTGGTTTTAGTAATGTTTTTTGTTGTACTGGCGTTCGTGATATATTGTATAAGGTGGGTATAGCGATAGTCTCAGACTCTCCTACCATAGAAAATTAAGTCAAATTCGAATCAAACATATTTGACATGTGTTTTGAAACCTGCAACTTTGGAAACGCTAGTTTGTCAGAATCTCTTACAGTGCTAGAGAGGTGGTGATTTTTAACAACTGTTCAACTTTGCCAAACTTTTGCCAGAGCAGACATACCGCTACCAATATTCTATATATCTATTTCAGGCGACGAAGGAAGGAAATGTCGGATAAGAGTCAATCAACAATGAGTGGTGTCACAAACGATACTTATGTTTTATCGCCTTCAGACTTGGAAGTCAATCAAGACCAAAGTTATGAATATGTAGAGGTATAAGAAAAATATTTAGATACGAAATATTTACATACCCTCTCTGTTTAGTTTTTGTCCTTGCTCTTCTCATATATTATATAACAAGCAGCCACAATGTTCTCAATGAAATTGAATGAACCTATCTTAGCTTAGCCATCATAGCCGAACTAATTGAAGTGCTTCGATCATAGAATATTTGAAATTTGAATGAAATGCAAACTTAGTATCAAAACCGAACGAAATAAAACGCACGAACTCGACAAGCTGAGTACACTAAAATTAAATAGTTCTATTATGACAGCAAGTGATTTAACTTCTCCAATAAACTCTTGGGGGTCCATATGACTTTGAATACAAATGTAGGGGTACACATTTCGGCCTTTACAAAGCCCTTTCAATATAATTTTACTCGGTTTTAGGAGAACGAATATGGCATCCCTGATTTTTACGAAGCAGTTACAGAGAATTCCATTCCGAACAGAGATAACAACAAAACTTCAAATTTTGCCGGGGACAGTGAACGACAATTTTACTATTCTTCCGTCGATTCGAAGCCGGAACAAATTCTGGATGAAAACACTTATGAACCATTCGAACGTGAGAGTCGCGTGTCAAGCAATATTAGACTTGAAAAAGAGAATATTCTATACGGTATTAGGGAGAATGAGTCCACTCCGAAACGGTCTCCAAATATAAATCTCGCGTTACCTGGAAATGCAATAAACGTTCGTCTGAGCCAAGACAACATATTATATGAGCCTACGGCATCTACAGGCCCATTTTATCAAAACGTAGCCGAAGATGACATAGCGAAAGTTGAAGTCGCAAATGTACTTTACAGCATTGGTACATTATGAACTTTTTCCTTTAGAATTATTCCCAGAAAATAAGGCACAAGTAATGGACACCCTATCACCCGTGCTACTCAACTGGCGGACCGCGGTCCGAATCCAGACTTTCGACCATTTAATTTGGACCGTCTGCTTGTTTATTTTGGCAGCATAAGCATCGTTTTAAAATTTTAGATGATTTTGATACAATTTAAATACACCGCTACAGTTGTGCGACATTTGTGAGCCATTCATTGCTCTTGTATTTAATTTAATATTGCATTTGAAGTTTCGTCTATTTAATGAAATAAAGTTTATGAAATATCCGGACCCCAGTAATTTTAAAGTTTTCTAAACGGACCTTTGGTGAAAATAGTTGAGTAGCCCTGCGCCGTATCCTACTCATTTATGCTAATTAGTATATTTTTCGGGAAATAATCCGTAAATAAACGTCGTATGAAAAGAATTCTATTTATGGTCAAAAGTGCCCTATTTAGAACTTTGTTTCTGCAAACACGAATAGTTTTGATTGATCTTTAAATGGAATTATTGTTTCCCCACCAAAGCACTAAAAGCTGTTAAATATATTAATTGATAAATTGAGTGTAGTCATCTTGCAGTTTGCCTTGTTTAAAACATTTACTTGCGTTTAACCTTCGCTGCGACAGAATAATACTCGAGATGTTAATGTTATAATGACCCAGTTTTAGAAAATTTCAACGCGAGTATAAAATGTATAAGTGTTACGGAAAACTGTTTAACGTAACCTATGCCATTCCGCGACCTCACGAAAGGGGGCTTGACACGTTGCTGCTCTAGACTCTAGACCTAGAGAGTCTAAATATCTACACAGAGTTGCGTTGAAAATACTTAAAAACATAGATTTGTATGCTACGAAAATAGTTACTATAATACGAAAAGGATTATTTGTGCAAGTCACAAACAACTATTGTGCCTAATGTTGATATGCCTGATAATTGAGAAATAACTTGACTTAGCAATATTAATCGAAACTCCTACAAGGCACTGCGCACTTCAGTAGATCGTGCTCAGGTTTACGGGACACGCGAAGTGACCACGCTGTTGTCAGACATCTTTTAGAAAAATATTCAACAGCTATGATTCAGAATATTTGATGGGTCAGGTTTACATTTCTTTCTCGCTTTTTCAAGCTAATTGTGTTTTTTTTTTGGTGATTCCACAATGTCTACCAGGGGTCGGGAACCTTTATTGTCAAGAGAGCCATAAAACGAATATATTTTCAATTTTATTTCTGTGCGAGCCATAAAACGAATTTGTACTCAAAAGTCAAAACATACAATGTCCCAATATACATTTAATGTGACTTCTGATGCTGCATGTTGTCACTGAGGGTCTTGAAGTCTGGTTGATAATTGGTGAGGTTAAGTTTCATACAGGCGTTGAGGCTTTCATCTGTTAAAAGAGATCGCTGGTTTGTCTTAATGTTTTTCAAGTGTGAGAACGACTGCTCACATGCATATGTGGATGCAAACATGGTCAATACAGCAATACACACTCTTTTCAGTGTGCGGTAAGTGGCAGGAAGCGCGTTCTAAGTTTTGACAATCAACTGGTCTGCGGGTTGAAGTTTTTTCATTTCTGTCCATTTATGGTTGATCGCGAGCTCCGCTTGTTGTCGTTTAAGTGTTTCCAAATTTTCATTTAGTGATTTGAACTTGTTGACCCATACGTCTGAAACCTTTAGGTCAGCAACTTCTAACTCAAAATTTTGATGCAGACACCAGGAATGTAACTCAAGTCGACGTCGTTTACAGCACACTCATATGGATGAGGGATGAACTTAAAAAGACTAATGCTCTCACGAAATTCTGCAAATCGCGCTTTGAATGACTGCAGGAGATTACATGTGAAGCCAACTAGCTGCTGGAGATCGAAATCATGAGTGGGATTATTTGCAGTGATTACATCTTTGAAGTTTTTCAGCCTTTCGAAATGTAACAGACGACCCGTTCCAAGATCCTCAATAAATAAATCCAGCCTTTTTTCAAATGCAAACAAAGTTTGTTGAAGGGATGGGATTGTATTTCCAATTCCTTGCATTTTCACATTGAGCTGATTAAGATGTTCAGTCATGTCCACGAGATAATAAAACTTCCGGAGCCAGTCAGGATTGGTTAACTCAGGATGCGTAACGTTTTTCATCTCAAGAAAAGTCCGGATTTCATTTAAGCATTCTGCAAAACGGTTGAGCACCTTCCCTCTTGACAACCAACGCACATTGCTGTGCAAAAGCAAGCCGGGATAATTGTTTCCAACTTCAGCCATCAGTGATTTAAACTGGCGATCATTTGAAGCTCGGGCAACAATAAAATTACCACCGAAGTGACCACATCCATTACGTCGCTAAACTGCTTGCCACACAATTGAGCACAAAGCGCTTCCTGATGTAGAATGCAGTGGAAACTTGGGATGGGTGTTTTTTCATATTTACGAAGAAGCGCTACAAACCCTTTGTTTTTCTCCATCATACAAGGTGCTCCGTCAGTGCACACTGAAACAAGATTATCAATCGGCAGCTTTTTTTCCGTTGCGAACTCCATGAAAGACCGAAATAAATCTTCTCCTCGTGTTGTTCCTTTCAGTGGCAAAACAGCACGACTTTCTTCACGCAGTGTGTCACCCACAACATACCTTGCAATTACACTGAACTGTGATAAATGGCTTACGTCCGTAGACTCATCAAAAGCAAGAGAAAATAATTCCGCTGTATTTATATCCTTTAATTGTATTTCCTCCACTTCATTTGCCATCATGATAGCGCGATCGTGAACAGTACGTGCTGACAGAGGCACGTCTTTAATTCTTTTTATTATTGTATCTTTATTTGACAAGTCCTCAAAAAGTTCATTGGCCACATCAAGCATAAATATTTTGGCATACTCGCCATCTGTAAACGGCTTTCCGTTCTTCACTATTGCTAAAGAGGCAGCAAAGCTAGCCGAATTACAGTTACCTTTCTGAGACCATGCTCGAAGTTGCTGCTGACTCGCTTTCACTTGGCGTAGTAGTTCTAAGCATGCCCTCTTCCTGATGTCTCCCTCTGGATATTTAGATGCGAAGGATGTGTGGCATGTGTGAAAATGTCTCTTTACATTCGACCGTTTCATCGACGCGATTTGAGCATTGCATATTAGAAAAACTAAATGATCTTTTCTCTCCACAAAGGCAAATTTCTCTGTCCATTCAATCTGAAAACCCGATACTCATCATCTTTCTTTCTGTTGGCCATATCTGTAGTGCTTTAAAAATTAGTTTTGCTAATCCAGTCTCAATATTAAAGTTACAAATGAGGAGTGTACAATAGGACGGAAGGCTTCGTTGCTCCGCGATTCTATCACTTCGTGATGTCTCAAAGTTCCAGAATCCTCTGTTTTGTCACAATGATTGTCTGTCAATTCTCTCACAAAACATAGACATGCGCTGAGCGAGTTTATCAAGCGCGTTGGCGAATTTTCTGCCATAAAATAGTCTGAAATCTGGTAACAATACTAAAATTAACCTTTGAATATTGGATTTTCACTGGGAGCCATATGCGGTCACCAAAAGAGCCATATATGGCTCGCGAGCCATAGGTTCCCGACCCCTGGTCTACTCTGTTCTGAGTGATGATATTCCTAATGAAACTAGAATGAGAGTGGACGTACATACAAACTACATATTGAGCAGCTTCATTAAATTCGCTCTGAAAAAATGAAACGTAACCGAAAACAAAGGGTCGTATATTGGGAAGAAAATTACCAATAATTGGTGAATTCCTGAATTTATTTTGTTTGTCGCAAATCATCGTACGGGCGTTTGAAAGTTTTGTGTACGTCATGGAAGTAGAATATCAGTAACAACAGTCTGTTTGGAACGTAGGTCGGTACATTGTTCGATACCTTGGAAACTATGTTATAGGTTCATGCAAGACGATTTTCTCTTATCCCACTCTATCTCAACTTTGTGTTTTTAGCATCAAAAAATAGTAAATTTTGACAAATAATACTGATAATGTATAATGACAGACCCGAAGACGATAAAAAACCTGTCGGCTAATCGCATGTCGCTATGCTTTTCAACATACCACCAGTGGGCGACGTGGAATAAAAAAAATGGCTTTATATGGGTTCCAAAAGCACCATGAAAAAAGAAAAAAACGACCTGGTCATATGCGGTCGAACAGAATTATCAAAATTGGCACGGACAGGGTTGCAAGTCGAGAGTGCGACTGTTCAGCTGCAATAAAAAGTGGGGCGGCGTGTAACAAGCCATAAAGTTTGTGGCCACTATTTTTTTCCTATGTATAGGGAGCTGAAAGCTTTTCGAACTTTTCTAAACAATATTTCTCATGGTATCTGAATTTAATTTATGTTTACGGAATAAATCGAATTCCGGCAAATTATATTCGAATAACAACCGATTTGGCGTTCAAATAATATTCCCCAGCAATACAAGCTGCCTAACTTGAAATCAAAAAATATATAGCATGATCATTTATTAGCCTATGCTAAAAACACGTATATTTCATTACTTCTCCGCCAATTTTTCTTTTGCATGTGTATACAGCTTTTTTGATTAAATAGTCCGGTATGCGTGGATCAACATGTTGGTATAAGGGGAAAAGTAATTTTCGCACTTATAATTAAAGCTACAAGAAAATACCTGAGAAACTAAAAGACAGCAACGCTCGACCAGTTGGCCACTTTTCCACAAATACCAACATATCAATGTCAACCAATTTTCTCTGCTCGTCAAGTCATACAACTTACAATTATCTGCGGTAACATTTTAGACCGGGGTCGTCCAACCCCATGTGGCCAGCTGAAGGTTTCCGGGTGGCCCGCGCGATATTATTAGCAGCCCGATGTTTTTCACAAATCTGAGCTACTATAGAATCCTCTAATAAAAATTATTCTTCGTCGTTCAAACGCGCGAGAAGAACCACCCAGCAATAGAAAGCTTTTTTTAAGTCTCTTTGCGGTCTTTATTGCCGGAGAGATATATTTGAATTTATTTTTATTGCCTTCCATGTATTTCAATCTGTTTTCTGCCCCCCTTTTGTGAGGCTAGGAGAGGCAGTTTTCATGACATCAATATTTGCACTTAGGCTACTTGTATAAGCAAGTTCAAGCAAGCCATGTCAAATCTCCCGTGAGATCACCAATTTCTGACATTCATATGAAAAATTCGCTTCGCATTGCTATATCGTCCATTGCTCCAAATATTGTAAAACTTGCTGGATAAAAGCAGTGCCATACTTCACATTGAAATATCTATATGTGGTAAAAACTTTTGACTTTACTGTATCTTCGTATTTTCAATGTTCTTATAATTTTGGTGTGAGGGTCTTGTTTGTTTTTTCATTAACCAGTAGTCGGTGTAGTGAAAACCATGTCAATTGGCCCGCGCAAACATTCGTAAACTACATGTGGCCCTTCGGCCATAAAGGTTAGACAACCCTGCTTTGGACAAAATTGTTATCATGACAGTCCTCTCAGGTAATACATTACAATACATTCGCCATTTTGATCAGACAACATACTACAAATGTATCGGTTTATAGGTCAGTTTTTGTAAAAAAAATATCGACCCTAAAATTAGACAAAGCTTACTAAAGATAGTAAACGGGATGAAAGCGAGTTTCGACTGAAAGCAACTACGAGAGTTAGTAAATTCTGTCGTGTGGGGGCACTGGAACGTTGTATTTTGCACTTTAATTTCGGTACCGCTGTAGTATACGAACCAAGATGGCGGACACCGGAACGTAGTATGTGTACCAGGTTAGGGTTAGGCCATAATTTCAGGTACAAATACTACGGGTGTCACTTGGCTAGCCCCCGAACTCGCAATAGAACTAAAATTTGGAAAAGTGGAATAATATTATTGCCTAACCCTAACCTGGTACACATACTACGTTCCGGTGTCCGCCATCTTGGTTCGCATACTACAGGAGCACCTTAATTTTATATGTTTCGTCTCGATGTTGCGTCAAGCATATCAGGAGACCCTCCATTAAGAACAAAACGAAAATGAAATTATGATTTGTACAGGTTCCTAGAATTAGGATCCATATTAGAATTGTTCGATGGCTTGAAATGTTTTATATCAAGTTCATGCAAGCTATTATTATATTTGCGCAAATCCATATATTTAAAGTTTAACCAACATGGACAAATAAAGGCATGAACTCATGAATATAATATTGATATTATATACCGTAAATAATTTTGTAACGTGGAAATGTGAGGGAATAGTAATGATATCGCATACATGGTATAAATACGGTATAAATGAACATAAAAGAGAGAAAGAAAATTTATCATATGTTATTTTCCCTCCACGGAAAAAGGCTGTGGTTATAAATGTTCGTAAGCAAACCTAACTTCACCCAGAAACGTGGATTCGCAATAAAGAATATATATATATATATATATATACACTGTGTGAGAGCATCGCAGCTGTTATCAGCAACCAGTAGCTATTATCGGGTGTTTACTAAATTACGCAGAGGATATCGTATATGGCGTCACAAATTAATCTTAGGTCAAGGAAAACAACGCTCATTCTCTTGTAAAAATTTATACTATATCTCCGCGAGAACATTTGATATCACGGTTCATCCTTAACATAAAATACATGTAACTTTTTTGTGAAAAATGTGACCTCGATCAATAGACTTAGAGATAAATTGTGTGTCACAAAAGTCAACGGGTCAACCAACGGGCATTCTCTCATGGGAGACGTGAACCGCAAAACAAGCACAACAAATTCAAAAGGTCACGTTTTAATTCTTCCCTTTATACGTTATTTGTGGGGGAAACGACTATCCCGAATGGTAAAAAAGACAACTGCCACTAATAATTAATTCGGTTGGGGTTATCCCATGCTATTTCTCGTGATTATTTGCAGTGTCGGAAATAGCGACGAAGATTGTGTAAATTCATAACGCATTGTGGGCCAATAGGAATTTAAAAGCTTTCATACTACAACGATATGGCTTTGTAACCCACCCACCCTTCCGGATTTAGTGGACGAAACTACGCATCAACACATCTATAGCATGAATTATGAACACTAGAACGCAAGATCTTTTGTACAAAACCCCCGCCACTAATGCAAAAATGTGAGTTTTGAGAAAACACCATCGCTACGTTCTAAAATAAAAAAATAAGTAATTATCTAGTTAAGGTTAGGGGGAGGAATGACTTGAGAATTTGGATTTCCAGCGCAATCTGCTTCATAGCCCTCGCCCTCACTCGATAATCACAAATTCACTTATTTTGAGCGATAGCGAGGGGGTTCGTTTTGGTGGGGGTTTGTACAAAAGTTCCGAAGGCACACAAATAAACTTTAAAATGCATGGCTCATAGACATAGATACCGGTATATCGCGCTCTGGTTGTAAGCTTTATCAAAATCCAAATGTTATGCTTCGACATTTTTCAAAGCAGCAGCAGAAATCTGTAAAATTGGTTCAAACCTATACAGAATATTTTTCAATAACTTAAATTAGCAATAGCCCCGTTTTCAGAAGTTCTGTACAAATAGATATACTCGAGAAGTCATAATTTTTATACAACAATCACGCTTTTAGAACTACAAAATATTTGCATACTGGGTTCTGACATATCTAGACAGAAGTCGAAAACTGTGATAAGCACGAAATATAATTTACAGTTCGTTGATCTGGCATTTACATAAGTAGCTATTAGAAGTACAGTAAGTATTAACCTATATATTATAATTGTTCATTAAAACTGAGTTAGCGTAGCGGGGTGCGGCAGTAATTACAAAGTTTATTCTAGTGAGTTATTCGCTTCAGAAATTTAATGCTGTCCTTGATCATAGGATTATGAAATAAAATTGTCGATATGGCGATTATAACATTTGAAATATAATTAAATTTACTGAGTGACGCTGTTCTTGTTTTTTATTTTCAAGCTTGCAGCCGATTGGTCGATAGCAAACGGCGTGTCATTATGATTATTGTGCTCTCATAATGCGACGTAAATGGTATGACTAAGTAATATCAGCCTGTGTATAAAAGAAAGAAACGCTTCCTGTATTGTGTGTGCGGGTGTGAATGCGTATATATGACGTAGATGGTTCCATATCACAACATTAGTCAGTTGACAAGAGGTCGATGACATGAACAGTCAGTGCTGTTTTCAAAAGTTCTTGCAACTATGTTTAAAAATAGTCTGCTAAGAATTCAGGTTCAACTGTTTAAAACGATAAAATTCAGGGAGAAGAAAGAAACCGTAGAAATAGAAAATATAGAAATGCAGTGTACATTCAATTATACAGGGGGTGTTTTGGCGGTGTGTCCGCTATCATGTGACTACAAACGATCGATCTAAGATTCTAAGTAGTCTCTATCAAACCTACTATCAAACTTACGAACTAAAACTACTTTCCAACAAGCTAATATATTAATTTATGGCCCAACTCGAGGGGGAAAAGGCAAGGTTTAGTGAGAGAGACTAAAAAAGTGAGTCTACCTTGCGTTATACATTCTATATCATCAAAAAAGCCGATCAAATCCAAAAAACAGAATATATTTTTAGTTAATTCACACCATAGATGATGTATAGATTGAAATTTAATTAAATGCCCAATGCCGCGGCTAGGATAGAAGCTGAATTATAGTTTCTGTATATACGTAGATAGTGTACCACTGCCAGTTTCAAACATAAAGAATATAGCCTTTAAATTAAATTTTCATCTTTAAATTCAATTGTACGAATATAAAACTTGACATGCATACTCGAGACATTTTTCATCCGAACAGTAAATTTACGCTGATGCAACAACGCGCAATGCCATCGAGTGAAACCGTTTAAAATCTGAGGTCATTATTGAGCTTGAGAGGTAATTATAAAAACAAGGATAATCACGATATTAGCAAAATCGTGTATAAATTGAATTCAAGGTTATTTGTAAACGCCCAAGGTCACCAGAAATTATCTGTAATCGGTTAAACTGGGATGATTATCAATAACTACAAAAGTTTCGTGATAAACTATTTGAAGCAGAGATATTTAATTATATCCAACGTTTTGGAATAACAAAATGACGTTAAGTTGAAGACTGCGAAAACACAAGTGATTTGAAATTGAGTCAGTTCGCTAGATGGTTATAGCTGTAAAAAGTTACATAAAATATTATAAATGGAAGGAATCCGTGGAATCTAGATATCTACACGGCGAATTACAACGCGCAGTGATCAGATTGGATTTTTTCTATCTGAAATTTTATTTTCTCATTTGCTTTCCCATGTGCTATTTCTCCATTAAATTTATAAAAATATGCACATTAAGAGTGTTGTTGATTTTATTGGTTTGTGAATAAAGAAGCAAAAATCTACGAGTTCGCAAGTTTTTGTTCCCAAGTAAAATTAAACTCAGTTTCGAAAAACAAAAAACAATGCTGTTTTTCAGAAGGTATTGATGCCGCAAAAGTTATTTATCACTCACATCTTGTACTTTTATTTCCAGAAAAATACTAGATAGACAAATACTTAGTATTAAGTCAGGTGAAAGGTCATCAACTATGGACGGAAAATCCAAAAAGGTAATTCCGTTTTCTATAAATCATTTACGCACCGGAGCTTTCGATTTTTCAATGATTTCAGCCCGTCAATTGGAGACTGCAAATGCAGTCGTCGTACAGTAAAATACAGGTTGTTATTATGACCATGCCTTGTTTTGAACATCCACCTACAGTAAAGTATATGACTCACTTATTTTTAATGAGGCTGTTAAGACAACCATGAGTAAGGAGAATTTCAATGTAGTTTGCTAAGAACCCTTTGCGATTTGTTTATACGATAAAAAATCTATATATTCAAAATATTCTAGTTTATATGTACTTTTTCATTTTATGAATTATATATATAGTCCAATTATTGTTTCACTTAATTTCCTTTTTTTGCCTGCGAATTACAAAACGCTATTGTTGATTTTGCATCATAGATTTAGGAGCGCAAATCAATACACGAATGAATTCACGATCTTATAAACTGACTTCAAATGTAGCATGCCCCCACTAATCAGTATAAATTACTTAGGTGTCATATCTCGATTGATTTCAAATTGATAAGCAGTACGCAGTTATGTTAAAAGCGACATGGTTTATCATGCAGGTCGAATGAAAGCTCGTTGCCACCTATGTTCAAAACTTCAAATGGTCAGCTATGTCCTATTGTGCGTTAACAAAGGTTTATCAATGATTAAAAAAAGGTGTGAAAATTGCTGTGATTTGATGATTAATGAATTTATTCATCCATTTGTAATGGTTCAGCCAGAGCTTGATATTTTATATATTGACTCATAACAATTGTATGAAGATGACTCACAACCTGTATATACGACATTACTATAATCCATATACTCCGTGTTTTAACATTATCCTGGTAACCACAAGACAGATAATTGGATGCACTTATTATTATACTTATTATACACATGACCAATAAGCAAAAATATTATGCACATGAGCAGAAAACGACAAGGTACAAGTTAACTAGTGCCGAGTTTCGTGGGAGGCATTGAAGACGAAAACAAGCATTTTATAAACAAATTGAATAGTTTGTTGATGAAGAAATTTTATTCACCCACTGTCACGCGATGTAAGTGGTGCTACGTCACAAACACGGCTGGGTGATAATAAATTAAAAAGGCCTTCAAAATTGTCGAGGTTGGGTAGGGACCCTCCCACGTGAGCTCACCAATAAACACTCAGTTTTCGGATACGTGATATTCGGCACGTAGTCGCATGTCATATGTTCGACTCTATTTGTATTGTCTCGCCACATCACATTAATTCGAAATAATCACAATTAGTAAACGATACTACTAAAGTTTCTGTTTGACAATGACGATGAATTTCAACTTTTAACCTTTTTTGCGGTTGCGCGAAGGCGTCACCTTTGCATATACTATATCGAATGTTTAGGACGCTTCATATTTCACTCTGAACAAGGCTCTGAAGTCTGGACAGCGGTTATGAAAACTCAGATTTCGGACCGAACCTTTTCTTTTCCGATGGCGAATGGTAGACATTTAAATTATCACACCCTTGAGTGAAAAGGTCGACATGAAAGGGCGGCATACGACCAAACGTGGCATGATTTATACAAGCTTTGTCCTAATATTGGGTTCGATCATCACACTAGTCACTCTTACCCTGTTTCCTCATTGTGGCTATTTGCTACTGTTAAAAAACATTAAAATATTGTTTTTCGTTGAATCATATTACCTTCAAAAATATCATTGACAATAACTTATCATTTCAGAAAACTGCTTACAGAGAAGATCTTCAAGATACGTCAGGACTGACGGATCTTATATTTTCAGTTGACGAGGAAGTCGGTGCTTTAGCCAGAGCATTAAAGATATTCGAGGTAATTTATTGTTCTTTAAGTGGCTAAATATTGATATGCGATTATTGGACACGAAATTGGCATGTGGGTCGTTTAGTTATTATGTTGTTCTTGTTAGAATTTTCATATTTCTTATCATTATGAGAAAAATCACTTATCTTATTCACTAATGAATCAATTGCCTTGAAATTTTCAGTGATTGAAGATTGCATTTTTCGCTGGAAAGCTATTGCTTTAATGATATTTCATCTAAAATGCTGTTTAAATTTGAATTATGGGAACACGCTTCTATGGCATCGTGGCGACTGTCTTCCATGTTTAATGACATCGTGACGACTGGTACCAGTAGTCTGCTCTGACATATTATATACCCTCGTACTGTACCAAGGCGTTTTGGGCCTCGTGTCCATATATTTGAGCACAGCTCTCTTGATACCTATTATTACCCTTACCATGTCGTTTGCTCGAATGAATATCATCAATGTTTCCACCAACCGAATTATTTAAAATTAAAAAGAATATATATTAAACCTACTGTTTATTTTCACAGAGCAAAGGGGTCAATCTGACGCATATCGAATCCCGTCCATCGCATAACAATAAACATAAGTACGAGTTCTTCGTGACATGTCAAAACACTAATGGTCACGTGACTGATGTCGCAACGATGTTGAAAGAGGGCATGAACGCTAACGTTCTACAGTTATCACGCGATAAAAAAGTAAAAGACGCAAGTAAGTTAAATATTACTGATATTCTGCGTGTATGAGTATTTTCAACGTCAGACTGGCGACAGTTGTAAATACAACAATGCATTACGGGTAATTGAATTCGCAGGTGGGCATAAGTTGCGCGTTCTCATAATGAATGCACCAAAAATCAACAAATCGAGATAAGTGTGACATAAGTGGAAACATGAGTTGCTATAATTCCAGTATGTGTTGAACAACGCGTGGCAAAGATAACAATTTCGTAATATAATAACACTTCTGTCTGAAAATGTCTATGCAATGAAAGACATAACACTTTGTACCAAATTGACAGGTTGAAAATCGGTGCAAATTTAGTGGTATTTGCAATGTCATGAACAAAATGTGACCAAATCTCAAAATGTGAATTTTTCAATTGGAATGATTTCGTCAATTAGTACAGAATAAGATAATTTTGAATATTTACATGAACTGTTCCGAAAATTTAGAATAGAAAACTATTCAGATACGGGTTGCCCATAAGTCATCGCACATTATTCAAAAATATAGGGAAAGCCAGTGCATACCAGCGCGAATTATGAAAACAAATACTTTTAGCCCATAAATCAGAAATTACCTACCGGTAATGGCTATTTTTGGTATTCATGGATATTTTTTCAAATAAGAATATATTTTCCAAGGTACGGGCAATTCCAAATTCGTTGCTGCAGAAAACTCAAAAAAGGAAGTTTTTAGTGGTAAAATGCATGACAATTCAATTCTCATTTTGGTGGCGATCATTCCCGCCATAGCTTTAACATACGATCTTGCTCGTTTCGCATTATTAACTCACTCGGTGTTCTTCAAATATTCTTTTCATACTGCCAATTTTATTTTATAAAGTTGCAAAAATGTTTCTTATCTTTACTTAAGCAGTGAGATTTGAAGTCCTATTAGATAGTAAATAGCCCAATATTTGACACAATCTTGAGAAACTTGATAGTATACCCTATTTTCCCATTGTAAATATTAATTACATTTTCAAACATTCAGTTTCAGAAAAAAAGTTTGATGGTAAATTATCTTTAAAATTGAATAACCAACTAAAGGCTAATTTGCATGTAAAATATTTTAAGTTTTTCCACATCGAAATCGAACATGTCTAAATTTCAAGAATCGAATGAGTAAATGACAGCTCGTTGCCAAGTTCATTTGGCCAACCCAATACGATTGATCATTAAAATCACATTATTTTATGATTAATAATTCTATGTACATGATATTCCTATGAAAAAAAAGATATCAATATTTGTGATAAATGATATCAAATTCAGTGCATGTAACATTACTTTTACAAAACACCAGAAACCGACCTGTTTACACGTTCATATATTTGTAATCCTAGCCAGGCCTACATACCAACCTTTGAGGTGGAATTGAGCGCGACCGAATTTTCAGTAAATAAGTATCTGCAATAAGTTGCTACCCTAACGATTAGGTTTCTTTTTCTGTTTTATTCATGGTTATTTTTAATATCTGTTTTCAGTCATGTATTGTTACTTATGCATGTCACTTTCGGTGATGCTCGTATAACATAATTTTAGTACATTCAGTGCAGTTATTTGTTAGGATTTGACAATCCTGTGGCTTACTGAAAATTAGTAGAACATAACCCAGAATCATTTTTCCGAAACAAATTCAATTGCGTTCAATCGCTTATGCAAATACCTATCTGAAAAATAAATACAAAGAGGTTTTGTTGAGTTTATCGTTATTTATCTTCCGAAAATAAATTCAAATTGTTTGCATAAATGAGCTTAGCTCAAAACAGATGTTGCAAGTAACCACGTGGGACGCCAGGGCTAATAACTATTATATTCTAAAATAAATACAATCTGCACTGCAAACGCAAAAACGGTAACTAAATAAAATACCTCTGAATGTAATTTTGATTTCAAAAACGCTTTGCCACTTTCTAATAGTTGATTATTTTTAGCTCCATGGTTTCCACGCACTATCAAAGATCTTGACCAATTTGCAAATCAGATTTTGAGCTATGGATCAGAATTGGACTCGGATCATCCTGTGAGTATAATTAGAAAATAATATCGAGCAATTGCCAAACATTTTACTGAACGACAAAAAGAGAAATTTACCGGCGGAACAGTTTCCTTATGCCAGCCTGAGAAGTCATAAAAAACGCAACAACTGCGAGTGAAATTAAGAGTACAACTGCTTTGTTTAACTCGAATTTCTCCGTTCCACACAGGGTTTCACGGACGCCGTCTACAGAGCACGAAGGAAAGAGTTTGCTGACATTGCCTTCAATTACAAGCAGTAAGTGATCATACACTTCCACCACTACATACTATTCCCAAACTTTAGATTGGTTAAACTTTCCCATATCTTCTGTATGCTTTATAAATATGTGTCTATTTGACATAATAACTCAATAAGGGGTGCTCCTGAAGTATGCGTATCAAGATGGCGGACACCGTGACGTAGTATGTACCTGGCTGGGCCATAATTTGATTTCTATTTCCCTTATTCTAGTTTTATTACGAGTTCGGGGACTAGTCAAGTTAATCCCGTAGTATTTTTACCTAAAATTATGACCTAACTCTAACCTGGTACACATACTACTTTCTGGTGTCCGCTATCTTGTCACGCTTAATTCAGCGCTACATAATAGGGATCTGGGTAGGGCGTTACTGAAAGTTCTGTTCCACCATTTTTGATACTCTCTGTGATAAAAGAACCACGAGTTATGCTTTTACCTGTTTCGTATTGCATGGGAGAATATAAAGGATTACTAAGTTAACTATTGCGTATTACAGTCTGGGCGCAGCATGGGCCCTACAACACACTAAACATCAGATGCTAAGGTTAAATTCTTTTATAAATCTTCAATAATGGCGATATTCGAATCATTTTATTTTTTTTACCGAAATCTTATGCTAAATAATGACAAAATACGATTTTTTTGATAATTCACATTTCTTTTTACAGCGGTCAAGAAATACCAAGAGTTGAATATACTCAACACGAAATCGACACCTGGTGAGTGTTTGATTGTGGCGTTGAACGATGACTTATGGTTGCGAAAGTTAAAATTGCAAAATCTAAATTGTTTCAGAGTTCAGTACGGGGAACACGACTCCCGCATGTCATTTGCTATATGCACGTAATCTGTCATTTGTGCAACCTCTAAATTTTACTATTTTCTTTTAAAACCGAAAAATCTTGAACGTATAATTGTCTAACAAAAGCAGCTATAGCACATATGCTAATATTCCCTTTGCTCTCAGGTCAACTATCTTCAAGCAGCTAACAGAACTATACCCAACGCATGCATGTCAAGAGTTCAACCGAATTTTCCCGATCTTACAAGAGCAATGTGGATATGGAGTCGACAGCATTCCACAGCTTGAGGACATCTCACGATTTCTACAAAGTTCGTCAATGATAATAATCATACTTAATAAATATTCCACTTTTGGTATTTTTGCAAGAGTCTAGGCAGTAGCCAGCAACTCAAAAGAGATAATCTGAATTATCGTACCAATAAAGCAGATAAAATATTTTAGATTGCTATCAAAATTTCTGATTTTTACTTTATACCATGCAAGTTTTTTTAAGACGCCCCCCGATTGAGCAGAAACTTAAAATCAATAGCAAAACAAACTCAAATAGAAACGAATTACTTGAAGAAACCCTTTGCTTTTGGCTGCACAGCAGAACATAACTTGACACAAAAATCCAGATCCCCCTATATATAGAACATGTGCACTATCCGAAGAACAGTTCTGGTATGCAAATTTCTGTATACATCCTTTGATACATGTCAAATGCATATTTCTAATTTATTTTTAGAATGCACCGGCTTTCGATTACGTCCCGTCGCTGGACTTCTTTCGTCACGTGACTTTTTGGCGGGATTGGCATTCCGTGTATTTCACTCGACGCAATACATAAGGCATTACTCGAAGCCACTCTACACCCCTGAGCCGTAAGTCGCCATTTCTCAAAATAAAACTTATATGCTTTCGATGTCCTACAAATCTTTAGTATATTTTAGGTAATTGTTATTATTAAAATGTGCCCCGCCCCCATGTCATTGAAGCCAAATATCATTGCATTTCATTTCTAATGTTTGAATTGAAGTCGTTTGTTATATTTTCTCGTCTGAAACAAAATCTCCCTAAACTCAAAGCTAGGACCTACAAAGAAATGCAATCGTGCCACAATTTACTCGAATGCTCATGTGTATATAACCTCATGTCTTTTTATTTAGGGATATTTGTCATGAACTAATCGGACACGTTCCTCTCCTTGCCGATCCATCGTTTGCTCAGTTCTCTCAAGAAATCGGACTTGCTTCACTTGGTGCACCAGATGATTGGATCGAAAAATTGGCGACGGTAATAAAAAGATTTTCCGAACATACATTCATATCAATTGCTCATAAAACAGCGACTGCGTTCCAGGACTTAACAATTTCTAATTTTTAACTTATATTATCTGCTCTATATTATTTTCATTCACAAGTCGCTTGGACGGATTTTTCAAATATTTTTACTCACTGTAAAAATGCGGTTTTTTCTAACAGTGCTACTGGTTTACGGTTGAATTTGGAATCTGTCGTCAGCATGGAGAACTTAAAGCGTATGGCGCAGGCTTGCTGTCGTCATTTGGCGAGCTCCAATATTGCCTTTCGGACAAACCGGAGATCAGAGAATTTATTCCGGAGAAAACAGGAGTGCAGGTAGTTTCTCTAACTATAATAATCCACACTATATGTGCTTATACCAATTTTCATATATATATGTCGGGGAAAATCAAATTTAATTTAAAAATGAATACAGAATATACAATTATGCCTATTCGATTCTCTCACGTGTGTTGATGTTTGAATTGCAATTTACAATGTTCAAAAATCATTTCGTTTTGTGGTCCAAGTAAAAATTAAAAATAAAACTAATTTTAGCAGTTTTAACAAATCTTCGACATAAAAAGGATACATATGAAAAATAAAAGTTATGTGTGCATTCACATTTTAGGACAGCTATAACACGGAAAAAGTAATAAAAAAATATTACAAAAAATTAACCTGCATTTTAAAATCATATATTTTTTATCTTAGCCGTACCCTATTACCGAATACCAGCCGGTGTACTTTGTTGCCGAGAGTTTTGACGACGCAAAAGTTCGACTGCAGAAGTTTTGTGAAAAAATTCCCCGTCCGTTCGTAGTTCGATACGATCCCTACACACAACAGGTCGAAGTCCTCGATAACAAAGATAAACTGCTCAACTTGGCATCAAAACTTCAAGGTAATTAATTATTCATAGATTTATTGCCCCTGTCATTCGTGGCTGATCTATTGCTCACATCTAATTGAGAATAAAATAGAAGAAAATGAACAAAAACTAGCGTTACGTACATCCAGATCCATTTACAAAATATCCTAAAAAATTCAGTTACATAACGCCTGAGAATTATTCATTTGCAGAATTATCATTTCCCTGAGCATTTGTATTCCATATACAGTACTACGTACCATGGCTCATTCGCGATTCAATACCGGTTATTCGGTGCGAATTTCTCTATAGTGAGCAAAATTGAAACCTCTTTTGCATACACAGCGGGGGTCGCGAACTGAAAACACATGATCGTACTTCTTATAGGAAAGTGTTATTTACTGCAAGTAACTTACAAACAGCGAATATAGAATTATATGTGAAATAAAGACTCTTTATACTCTTTACTCTCTATTCCGAGTCTTCTATCCAACAATTATTAGGCACGAGTTTATATATAGTGACCACGTTTGAAGTGTGCGATATTTACCTATATGCACTTTTGCACACTCTGTGACTTGTGAGGGTTGCGAACTGTTGAACTTATTTTTATAGTTAAGTGCTATTTACAGCATGTGACTTACAAACAGCAAATATAGAATTATATGAAAGACTTTTCAAGGAATATTTGTTTCATCAGTTGGTGATGATATTTAAATTAATATCTCTATTTATTGCAGATGACTTCATGATACTCCGAGATGCCGTTAACCTCGTGTGCACGTGAAGAGTGTATTATAAAACATGACTGCTTTTCTTATTTACCCCTTCACTTGTGAAAATTATTTCTGTATAGATTGTTTTGCTCAATTGTTCGAAAACTGTTGGGTTGTCAAGTTTATCTTAACAGCTCCGATATTTATCCCACATAAAGGTGCCGTTTACTAGAAATTATCGTCACTTTCACACCTAGAATTGGGTTTAAAAATTCATCTGTATGAAAATGATCTTATGCTTTTGTAATTATTTTCGTGTAATTAACTGAAATGTAAGCCTATTGTTTGATTGTACATATTAAATTCGTTATCTGTCATAGTGAAAGATATTTTTTTCGAATGCTTTCCTTTTTTTTTAATAACTACTTCAAAGAATTAGTTTTTCAGTGCAATTTCAAGGATTTTTGTAATAAGAGAGGCTCTTGATATATATACATCTTTTATTCGATTGGATATGTAGTATTAAATAATAATTTCAATATTTGATTTTTGAATGGTTCATGAATCAAACAGCGCCAACGTGCGGTAGCGAGCGTATTAACCGACGCAAAACTTGGTAATGAGTTACGGCAGTTTTAGCATTCCCTCAAAAGTTTTTTGTTGAATTTAATTTTATGCAATAAAGTAACGCACTGATAAAGTAGCAGGTGAAATGTTGTGTTTCGCAAGTTGGGGGCATTCCACGACCCAATGATTATCATAGACATGGCTGGTCGATATTTGACATTAATTTACCTGGCAGATTGTTTTTTCTTTTTTCATATGCATCTGTTTTGGCAATGGTATGGTGATGTATAGTGTGCAATTCTATATTTTACTATGTGAATAAACAACGAAAATTCTGCATTCTATATTTCTGTGAAAAATACCAGATTTGGTAATATGGCGGAAATACCTACCGTAATAGATTCCCCAGTGCCCTTTAGATACTGCAGCCTACAACTACAAATTTCCTTGAACTAACCCTATTCTCTCTATAAAACTAACCACAGATAAATCGTATCTTTCAAACAGAGCCCTAGCCTAATACAAAATAGGCAAAAATGAGAATAAAAAATAAGCATTTTACTCATGGGTGCCTAAAACAAATCGAATATTCGAAACTGGTTATAATTTATATGCTGAATTCCTGATTTTAGGAATAAGAATAATTTCAAATACTTTCATCTGAAAATTTGTCGCTTTAAGCATCCAAAATCTGAAAAGAACGAATGCATATTCTGCATTAACAGTTTCAATTTTATGGAAACAATTCAAAAAAACTCGATATTTCCAAAATATAATTTTCACTAAAAAGTTTAATGACGTGCAGTGGTACAATTGTTCTCCTTGCGAACCACATAAACAAAAATTTAGTACTCCGAATAAAATGTACATTACATTATATTTTAATTATTGAACTCATTTATTTGCCATGGCTTATTTCAAAAAAAAAAAATTCACTGTGCCAAAATCAGGAGTTCAGTATTTTAATTCAATTTCCAGCAACTGGATGAAATCTGTGCCTCAATAAGGTTGACCAATACAAAATTTTGAAAAATATATCCAAGTGTCAAGTATAGCTCTAAATATACCTGAATATCCCATCTGTTTTGGACACCCGTGACACCCTATCTAGCATATTTCAAAACAATCTTCAATAAGCACTCATATCTTGAAACTAATTCTAAACTGTGCTTGATATAATAATAATAAACAAGCCAGTCTGCATTTACTACAGAATACGAGTTTAACGAGCTTATTTACTACAAACCACGAACTACCCTATTCCTTTCAAAATCTAAAACGAGAATATCGGTCAGAGACCGAAGACTTATCGATCGAAGATTAGGGGATCCCCCAAAACAGCGCTCTTACTCCATAGTGACCCATCACTAATTAATTAATAACTCGCTAATTATATCACATAATTCGCCCAAAATCAATAGGCTTCTGGTCCGAGATATGATAAACGAACATGCAAAATCTGGAGCAGATTCAGTCTCGCTTTCGTGAGATATCGCGTGCAACTAACAGACAGACAGACAAATACCTATCAACATACTTACCGATTAAAATCGATAAGTAACAACTTGAAGCCTCCAAACTAAACCGTCAACTCACATTTTCCTTTTTGCTAAGCGATGGATTCTTCAGCTGCCTTGAAATATCCAAACTAAATCTTTCTCTCGAAACATAAATCCCATCTTATACTAAGACTGACACTTCCTCGTCGATCTAGCTTTCACCTTCAATGTAGCTGCATAATGGTCTTGTCCTTTTCAATAAACCCTGAAATAACACAAAGGAAAATACTTGCTTCAATTTGTGTCTGATGTGCGAAATAGTAGGAACAAAGACAATAATATTATGGAACACAATATTTGAGGTTGAGAGTCAACAGATATAAAATTGGGCAAATGATTAGAGCATGCACTTGATCAATGTAAAAATTAAAAAAGCGTTTTTCTAATATCTGTTCTGTGCTTTAATAAAATATGTCGCACAATATAAATCAATTCGGATCAAAGGTATATTTGCCATGAAGAAGGCCATAGTTCGCCACTTGTTTGTAGAAAAAACGAAACAGGAATAGTTAACGTTCACCTTAGCCAATTTAAATTTATATACTCTGTGGAAGTCAGGCACCAATACCCGCATAATCTGAAGTGACTGTGGTATCAAGTCATCGACTGGGCCTTGATTTTCAGTTATAATAAAATTTAAGTAATCATGATCTGACTTTATAAAGACCCAAGTGCACTGAGAATAAAGTAACATTTGACAGTACACGAAATATTTTAAGCAAATCCAAAAATTTGGCACATCCACCTATTTTATGCCCAAACAAGAAGTTTATAAAAAATATTTCTTTCATCAAAAAACAAGTCAAATCTACTTGAAGAAAAAAATAGATTTCAGTAATAACTGAAAGCCGATAGGTGCTGGATATCAAATAGCAACGCTTCAAACACAAGGTCTCAAAGTCACGTCCCCTATTTCCAACTCTCAGATCTGAGCTGTGTTCAATAATTACCAAGACAATACAAATGCAATATTATTATAACAATCACTACGATACAACAACTAAAAGGACGGAGAAACTAAGAGGATTTTGAGAGTATCATTTGGCTTGGACAAATTGGAGCAAAATTTAATTCAATTAAACTTCCAAAAAAGGGCGCTCCAGATGTATGTGTACCAATAAGAAGGGAACTAATTTTGTTCACCTACTTCACATCAAGTTGTGTAAAGGGACTAAAAGGCTCTGGGCAGGGGGTATATTCACTTGACTAACACAAACAGTCCCCGAACTTGTAATAGAACTAAAATAAAAAAAATTGGAATAAAATTATGGCCTAACCCTAACCTGGTACACATACTACGGGAGTACCCAAAAAAAGGGACCATTCAAAGAATTACACAGTTCAATATATGAAGAGAACTGTTCGTGAAGAAGCCAGAATGAAAAATCACTGAGCAAACCACCTGATGGCAATAAAGAGTTTAACAATGCTCTCCCTCATGTCCATCACCAATTGGATTTTATCCCAAACCATGTCCCTAGTGAGGCAAAAGTCATATCTCACAGAAAACATACTTCAACCAAACAAAATCAAAAAAGGTTTTCAATTTGACGTATTCTTGAACAAGAACCATTTCGAATATAATGAACTGGGAAGTGTCAAATTGCTGGACAAATACTATGGCACTAAGCATGAGACTCTTAGCTTTTTATCCTTATAAAGAGGGTCACTCAAAACAAAAATAATCGTTGATATTAGGATTTTTGGCATTGTTGATTTAGTGATTAAACATTTAAAAAATGGTTCGTAAAAATAAGCATATAAAATTACGGTTTATATTTTGCTCAATTCCTGAAGATACCCCCTCGCCCAAATCTTCCCTTGCACTAACATAATCTATCCAGAATTTTCGGGGCAGTCTGGTTGCTTTGTAGGATGGGCTGCAATGAAAGCTTTATGAGTCTTCAGTTCTTCATCAATCTTCGCTATTATAGGAAACTTTGACATGTCAACTTTGAACCGAAGGGCATTGCCAACCTACGGAAAAATGAATAAAAAACATTGAAAATGGTACTTATAATGAAACAAGGAGTATGAAATACTTTACTTGAAAGCTAAAATTAGTCGGAACAGTGATATAATGTTGTAGATAATGAAGATTTTCTGGTATACAGGTGAGGCTGGAGAGTCAGAACCCGAGCCGTGACGTTCTGATGAAGCTTGAGCTAGAAGACATTTTGGCGGCCACTGCTCCTGAACATCTGATTATTTATTGCAGATATATTTTTCTAACACTCCATGAAAATGATAAGATTTATCAAACGGTGGGGTACGCCCCAACGCCACAGGAAAGGGGGTGTAGACAATTTTTTGAGGGGAGTGAAGCTAACTGAAAATAAAAAATATTTGTTAGATTCTCCCTTGCCCGCCTTATTTTGGATATTTACATTTCATCCACGGAATTTCAATGTTTTTTTGAATAAAACATGCTTTCACCTTACCAACTGTCATTTGTTGCTTATTGTTAGCTAGTTATTTCTGAGGAGGGGTGTGAGACTTGACAAATTCTAAAAAGGGGGCGCGGCTTGAATCCTATTTATATATTTCATCTCTAGTATTAATTTAAAAAGTTCAAGTTCAATTTTTATTTGAAACATTCATATAAGGGTTTCAACGAAACTGTTATTGGGCTAATGATTCATGGTTAAACCAAATAACAACATTGGTTATAGAGCTCCATTATGCTTTTAATAAACCAACTTGTAAACCTTGTAGGGTCGGCTTATATGCGAATTTTCAAAATTTACCGTATAGGGCCATTTTTGGGGGTCGGATATACAGTAATTATTAATAATAGTCTCAATTAATAAATTCCCAGAATGAAAACAAACCTGAGGCACAAGAAAAGCATCTGCAGCTGTCAACACATCCCCGACACAATATTTGCCAGCAGTTGTCTTCAAGAATGCTTCAAGAGCAACAAAACCTCTGTCTATAAAAAGATGTCCCCACTCCATTCTCTTCTCTTGGTCATCAAACTGTTGGAGGACGGACAAGTTTTGAATTGGCTGAATTCCTGAATTGATAATCTGAAAATAATCAGAAGTCAATTAATGTGTAACATTCAAATAGCTGTGAATTCAAAGTTGAAAACGTCAACTGGTTGCTTTGTTTACTTCTTCCATTAAACTGTTTTGCTTTGTAGGTTAGCCTCTTTGGTGTGCAGGTTTGGATAATACACCGAGATAATTATGTGCGAGAGGATTGAAATACTCTTCGCTGCCATACGGTGATTCACGTGACTTTAGGTTTGGATAATACACTTGAGATAATTATGTGCGAGAGGATTGAAATACTCTTCGCTGCCATATGGTGATTCACGTGAACGTTATGTTTGGATAATACACTGAGATAATTAAGTGCGAGAGAATTGCAAATTTGCAATTACTCTCCGCCATCATATGGTGGTTCATATGAACGGTGGGTGTTAATGAGTCAGTGGTGTTCGGAGTCGTCTTATTTTTTGTTGAAGCCAAAGTGACTATTATAGTCACTTTGGGTGAAGGGAGCGACTGCTGGTTACAGCAGATCGCCTAGAGATATTTTATGTATTTTTTTCTCAATTTATTCAAACTTAGTTAGACTTTTTCTTCTTTATAATATATTGTTAGACTTATTCTATAGGTCTCGCGTCTCCTTCACCCTGAAATATGGCCTTTTTATAATTTAATTTATTGCAATTTGTATGTTTGTGCCTATTTTAAGTATGGTGAAAAATAAACTACTGACTGACTGACATTCGGCATCGTTAGATATCAGTGGATGTTTCTACAGTACCTTGCTCAGAGAGAAAGGTGTGAACGAACGACATATAAACAAGAACATACATAGCCCATGTATAATTAATTTTAAAATTTAAAAGTTGAATTTACCTCACAAACTTCTCTGACTTTTGTTTTGGTTGTTAAATCTTCAGGAAACAACCGAACTCCTTGTTTTGGAAACTTTTCATCCAAAAATTCTACGATCGCCATCGACTGGGTCACAGTTTTTCCTTCGAGGATGAGTGATGGAACTTGCTTCATTGGATTTAGTGACCTGTGGAAATATTCAAGGAGAGATACATTAATATAGAGCAGTGGTTCCCAACCTCTAATGGCTCGTGGCCCCTTCCTGAGGTTTTTGGCACCCATGAACCCCTGTTTATCATATCAGTGGTATTTAGAGTGTTATTATGATTGGTACCAGTGGATTCCAAATCCCATTATGTTTGCACAATTCGAGCTCAGAAAGTGAAAAAACCCTGTGAAATATCTTTCTCAAGCAACGAAACCAGGTAGAACTGGGAGTTATCTTGTCGAGTCAAAAGTAAAACGACTTAATAACTTATTGATGAAAGTTAGGGGATCCCCCATTCATTCACTCTGACTCTATAGTGACACAGCGTGTCCCATCACCAATTAATTAATAACTCGCTAATTATACGACATAATTAATCCAAAATCAATAGGCTTTTGGTACGAGCTATGATGAATGCACATGCAAAATTTGGGGCAGATTGAACCTCGCTTACGTGAGATATCGCGTGTATTTAACCGACAAACAGACAAATACCTATCAACATACTTACCGATCTTAAGATCGATAAGTAATCAGTTCTGCGGCTAGAATGTGGCCCCCCTTCAACCGCTCTGTGGCCCCTAGTTGGGAACCGCTAATATAGAGGGTGTCCACAAAACCCCATTACATTTTCAATTTTCTTTAGTCAGTTTTTCAATATTGTTTTACCTAGGTTTGTTTTTTTTATTTAATCTTTACTCTCTTCATTCAATACACCTGTGGCAGTAGCAGTCAACAAATAATGTATGGTATCGACAAATTCCTACAGTTCGGAATTTAATAAACACCCTGTACTGAAGGATTAAATTGTCAAATTCATCTCATAATTGAGGAGAGCAAATAAGACGGCTCAATTCTCTGATGAACTACAGCCTTACGTCTACTGACCTCTCCATACTGGACATGAAAATATTTAAACAGTCATTTAAATACATCGAATTATAGCCAGCTGGTCATGAACTAAATAAGACCGTCTAGCTCTGACATGGGCAAACTGTGGCCCGTTCGGTAATGCAATCTGGCCCGTCTGATGCTGACACAACCATACTAAGACCAAATTTTGATGATTTAGCTAAAAATTAGGATTTTGTAGAGATTGCAATTAAATTTAGTTTCGCCGCGAGGCTTATTGTTTTCTGATTTTGCTTTTGTAACACTGTGTATATCAGTGTTTTTCAACCTTTTTCGAGCCAAGGCACACCTTTTTCAATGAGAAAATCCCGCGGCACACCCCCAGCTTAAAATGTGGGGAAAAGACCTAATATTCACAATTTAAGTGTTATATTGTTAATATAAGCTTTTTTAACTTTGAAGAAAGATGTTGAATTGGACATCTTGAATAGTAATCAAATAAAACAAGGAAAAAAAGGCAAATCTCCACCTACTGCTGCCACATTCTGCGCTACACCGCATAGACACACAAATTGGAGAATTTCCCACGGCACCCCTGACATTATTTTACGGCACACCGGTGTGTCGCGGCACCCCGGTTGAAAAACACTGGTGTATATTATTCCTAAAATTCAACTTTTTTCGTCACACTTACATCGCCCGCCCACCTAGGAGGGCAACATTTTTGGCCCTTTGTCCAAAAACCTTGCCCACACTGGTCTAGCTCAAACCATGATCAAAATGAACAAAAATCTAATTGGCTTCTATTGTACAACTGTATGTTTAGAGCGGATACAATCCATAAAAATAACCATACCTGTACTCGTCAGTGCGTTGTTCGCCACCATTGGTCACAAGATGTACCGGAGAATATTCATAATTCACTTCTTTCAATGCGAGAGCAATTCTCACACGCCATGAGCATGAACTCCTCCAATAAGAATACAGTTTCACAGGCATTTTCTTATCAATTGCATAGATTAGATTAAAATCTGATAAAAAGATAACAAATTAACACAAAGAATTTTCTCAGATGCTGAACTTCATCATTTGACTTGTGAAATATATTAAGTTCATACGACGGGTTGAAAATGAACCAAACTGAATGACACATAAAATAATGGTTGTACTCTTGATTTAAGTTTGCTAAATCAAGGCAAATGATAGACAAGACGCAAGCAACAGGGGCTCCTAAAATCGGTACTGATATTGCCAAAGTTTCTAAGCATACAACGGTATGTTATCAACCACACTTAAAAGCACAGAAAAAACTACATTTGAGAATTTGTCACGTCATGTTCAAGTCACTAAAGCAGGGAGAAAATGTCAATTTTCAAAAAAAAAAATTACAAATTATCTTGAACACAGATAGTAAGCAAGCAGTATTTGGAAAATTATCAGTTTAATTTTCTACTCTGATAAGTAAATACCTTATTAGGAAATTTGATTTGCAGAAAAATTGTCAATTTCCAAAAAATGCATGACTGGGTCAAACATTGATAAGTGAATAATTTATCATAAAAAGAAATTATTAGTTGAAATAGGGTAAATTTAATCATATTATGAAATTTGCCTGGAGCTCAACAAATATGCAGCACTGCTAATCGATCACAAGACAAATAAGCAAAAGCATTGCCCGCAAAAGAAACCTGATAAATATGATTGACATTCCATGATTTAGATCAGGGGTATGCAACCTTTAATACAGGAGGGCCAGGATACAAATAACTGTGTGAAACCGCGGGTGCAGCTTTATTTAACATTCCGTATATGCTCGTTTTACCATCCGATCTTGATTAAGGGCCTGTTTGAATAGCCGCCCGTGTGAACAGAACATAAAAATAAATAAGGGCCGGTGCTTGAATACCCCCTCGATAGAAAATAAGAAGCGCTTTTGTCACAACGCTGTTGAACTTTAAGCGCCAGTAAATAACACTCATGCCTTAGGCGTCCAAGTACATAACAGATAGAATTGATTAGGTAACACCATGGTTCTTAAACTGGGCGCCGCGACGCCCAAGTGCGTCGTTTCAATATTGCTAGGGCGCCGCAAAACTTTTCTTCTTTTGCGGATTTGCACCTGCAGTGCGTAGGAAAAGTCAAAATTTTTGTTATTCTAGATCATACTTAAGAACTGGAAATAACAATATATTAATTATTGTAACGATCGAAAATAACAAGCGCCCGTGCTTGAATAAGGGCCGGTTTGAATAAGGGCCCGGTTAGTGAGTTGGTTGAAAAAAATATGGGCCCGGGCTACAAAACGAGCAAATACGGTACGCTTCCAAGCAGTTGCAGGCACAAAAATGTTGGTTATTGATCTCATGATGCGTTGTTTCTTTCGCACGAGCTAGCTGTTAGGGCATTGTTATGTCATAGTCACTGACAAGAAATGAGCCTCAGCAACGATTAAACTAAATGAAAAACCTACTGGGTCACATAACATTACAAATTGGCTCTTTTCTGCGGGTCGCACAATTTTTCCTTGTGGGTCGTAAGTTCCACACCCCTGATTTAGATGGTCCAGATAAAATATCAGAATAATTCTTGAACCAAAATCACTTTTTTGTGATTTTTGCCGCAATGATTTTGTCAAATAGAGGTAGCCTATTTATAATAAGCACAATAGTACAGTCGGGCTTAAAATAAATGTAACTTCAGTCACAATACAGAATGATAAATATTAGAAAGTGTAAAAGGATGCTGTGATTTATCCCTAGGAAGACATTGCCTAAATAGGTGGCGAACCACATCTTCTGTTAAGTTAACAATGAAACTAGAGAATTAATTGAAAATGTCAAATCAATGAGCTGAGAATTGGCCCATTCGTCTGCAAGACCACGATATTTAAACAGTTACCAGTTCAGGTTAGGTATATGATAAGTAAATCATCTTTCCAGATGTACAGCCTTGGGACTTCATATCCGTTCCGGCAATACGGTTGGTTATTTTTGAAATTGAATCAAGATTGTTAATTTTGAACGTCAATATCATTCTTTGCATATTCAAATTGAAAATTTGATCTTATGAAGCAGCACTCAAAATGTATTTTAAGCAAATATTATTGAATATGTTTATCAAGGATATTGCATATAGAACAGTGACTGGCCAAGTAATAAAATGGAAAAGATTTCAAAGCCCAACAATTTTGTTGGAAATTTTAAATTTAGCCACGTCATAAACTTGGCATTTAATTTGTTTCGTTGAAATGAACGTGATGTATGATCGTTTGATATATGTACAAAAACCATTTGGCAAAAAATTTCTATGTAATGTTGGATTTATAGAACTTTTTTGTGTATCACTGCCATATTTAAAATTTGTTGGTAGCCCAATAGAAAATGCTAGATGACCCACAATTGGGCTGGATAATTGGATGACACACCAATGTACGGGCCAGGCTCATTTGGCTGATCTCAGAGAGTGTATAATGCATTCATGTTTAATAAATGATGCCACTGATAGGTCATGCCCATATTCATCAGTCGATCTGTATCAGAAAAACTTGCATTTTGAATCTGACCGTTTCGGCAAATTTTGTTATCAGAGGAGGTATTGAGGACTCAGTAACCTTTATGAAATCATGGGTGCAGCCAGTATTTTCAAAATTGATGACAAGGTATTCAAAATTGACAGTGTTTCCGTCATTACAAAATTCCAGGGTTTGTTCTACCCCCGACTGGCAAACCTCCGCTGACTATGCCATTGTAGTCAGATTGCTTATCAAAACACTGAATTGCAAAGCACCTGCTAACAAGCAATCTAATAAATCCAGTAGGTGAATTTGAATTTAATTCGGTTCAGCATTTCTAACCTGTTAGTTCAACTACAGCCTTAATTATTCGCTTATAAAATTATAAGCTATTTAATTTCCTACAGTCCAACTCTTGCTAGAATGTCTAATTCAGTCTTATTTAACTGCTGACCAAAGTACTGTTTGTGCGCTGAACTGTTACAGAATTGTCTAAAATAGTCCAGTAGATATTGCCGCAATTCTAAAGAATTTAACGGATCAGCGAGCACGTCGGGGTCATCCTCGTCTCCTTCAAGATCTTCTGCGGTGAATCCATCGTTCACGGAATCCAATAACTCTGATAAAGTCACTCTGGAGTTACCAGCATCGCCATTGCCAAGCTCATCGATCTCGAAGGCATCTGAATAAAAAACATAAGTGACAGCATAAGTGACATAAAAAATAATTCAAGGTATCATGAGTGTATCTTTTAATGAGATTTCTCAACTCGAAAGTCATGCGCACTCACTTCAAAACAGTGGTTCTCAAACTTTTTTATTTTATTTTTATTTTTAATTAGCTTGTCTACATCCCACCCCCCTTGTGGGGCGCACCCCACCGTTTGAGAACCACTGCTCTACAAGGAACAGTTTGAGGATTGACAATGAGTCTATCACATATTGTAGTCTGACCTAGGCAATTATTCGAAGCCAGTAAACACAGATTTTTTAACAAAGCAAGTCCACGCACACATATATAAAAAAAGGAAAAAATTCCTTTATGAGTGAAATTACAGTTGGTCACTGGAGTGCCAAGCGCTACTGAAACTATAAAGAATTACGGTGATGCATGATGCTCACAAAATACTTAATCCCTAGGTAGCGCTAGACAAAAATTTACTATCAAATACCTTCGTCATCTTCATCCTCCCATCCATCATCATCATTCCCGTTTCCAACTCCCGTCGCTGCAGCTTCCCCAAGATCTATTGCATGACCTAACTCAGCGATGAGAATTTTCAATAGTTTCAATGGCAGAGGTATAGACGTCCATTTTTCTGGTTCTTTTTTAGCTCGAGATCTCGTCCTAACTGTTGGGGTGTCAGTGAATATTTGATCTCCTTTAACCATAATTTCATTCATGCGAGTGTCATTCGTCGCTACTACGTGTTTAAAAAGTTCTGCTAAAGCTAAAATGCAAACTTTTGTGTCATAATGTCCGTAGAAAAGATTCTGTTTATCGCACCATTCAGTCATTACAAACTCAAGAGCTGTGTTGCCTTTCGGGCCTGGAACTTTCGATAAAAACTCGAGTGTCGGAACAAGTTCATGCTTGAATAAATACGCAAAAATTATTAATAATGACTGCGTAACAGTAAGGGTTTTTGCTTGCTGAAGTTTACTGAGAACGGCACGAAGTAGCTGGTCTAGAACTTCTTGTAACTGTGACCCACATTCTCGTATCATGACTCCGACCAAACGACCAACAAATGCAGCAGAATGTTCAGATAGCTGAGGATCTAAGAGATGAGAAGCGACACGCAAAACATAATGCCAGCCTGAGACGCCTTCTTGGTCTGTCCAGGAGATAACTCGACTCGGTGAGCGAGAAACAAAAGCTCTAATGCAGTCACCACCATTTTGAATCACAGAATTATCATCCGAACTTGTAACAGAATTCACAACTACTGGAAACAAATTTTTAACAAGTAAATCTGAAAATGGGGGATCCGTGTTACGAATGATAACAGTTAATAATTCCAGTGATATCCCGACCAAATTTGCTGATATTTTAGCCGGCGGTCCGGTGAAAATATTCGCCAATGCGGGTGCGATGTGATCCACGAGGCTGCGGTTACATTTCTTATTGGCCGAGAGAACTTCAAGGACATCAGAACACAAAGACACGATAAATGGATCATTATTGTGACGTAAAAATTGATTGAAAGTTAGTGACGTAATTTGGGGCTCATATTTAGCTGTAACATCATCATTAACTTTGAGAACAATTCCGATAGCTTCTAAAACCAGAGCTAAAGTTTCCACACTTGCTTGCATTGCAAGTTGGACTAATCCTTCTAAAAGGCTTGCACAATAAGGACTGAGTTTTTCTGTTTGGCCAATCTGCTCCAAATGATCGCAATAATTGCAAGCGGCTCGGACTGCTGAAATCCTAATGGATGGGGGTTGGTTGTCTTTTAACCCATGGACTGTGTATTCAAGAAATTGAGTCAGCATATCTGGTTGCAGCATACAAGTAAATCGGCTTGCAACCCATATAGCACGTCCTACAAGGAAAGGGAACTCGGAAGCTTTTATACTTGGCAGCACGATGCTAGTAATAAATAAATTGACATCAAAATTTGCATTTCCTGCCTCAATTGTTCGTGACACAAGAGATTCCACAGATCCCAATGCAAGCATTAATGCCTCGTAAGATTTCCACCAGCAAGGATGACTCGAAATTCGAGCTTCGTTAGCGAGACGTACATGACGATCCACAGCTTTTATCAAATTTATTGCACTCTCGCTTTGAAACTCTCTACAGCAGGTAAGAAACAAATCTTGAGCAGAAATACGGACGCTGTATGAAAACGTTTCATCATCTTCGTCTTGAACAAATTGGTCAGGGTTTTCAGACCAAATAGAAATCTGATCTTCTGTAACTTGCATGTATAATATTAAATGATAGATTAAATCTTCGAGGGATTGCTTTACAATTCCACGACAAGACTTCAATTCTAACATACATTCGATGAATTCAAACGTACAGTATACTAAGCTTTCAAAACCTGTTCCTTCACCGTCCGAGTCCACAGCATCGTCATGGCCTTCTACAGATATTACTTCCTTTTTTACATACATTTCAGCACAATTTGTGAATGTCCCCCACACAGCAGGCAATATTTCTGCTATCACAGGTTTTATCTCCTTTTCAAAGCCACGAAGCAAAATCGTGAGAGTTTTCATCACTTCTTTCTTCAATCCTGGATCAGAAACCTCACTGTTAGAGATCTTGAGGACTTTTACATAAGCTTGTAAAAAGTTTGGCAGAAATTGACTAACGTTAACACGTAGTGGGTCCTTAGCATTTCCAATTTCACTTGCAAACGAGGCGCATGTGTTAAAAATTGAAACCGCACGACTTCGTACTCTTATGTTGTATAAATCAGTCTCTGTAAATATTTTATAAATTTGTGGCAATAAAACTGGGACCACTGAATTCATATGAGTGTCTGTGACGTCTCGGATAAATTCAGTCAGAACCCGCATCGCACCATGCACTGCATTAGGGTCTTGTGAGGTTAAAGCTTGCATTAATGATTCGAATAATCCAGGCCAGTTCTCAGGCCAATCCCAACCAGCAATAGCAGAAATAGCATACGCTATTGAAGTCCTAATTTTTCTCTGCGGATCAGCAAGTCCAATTGGCAACATTTGACGAATTGCAATCTTCGCGTTTTCACTTGCTTCCGGCGGAGAAAATTTCTCAGAAATAGAACTCCAATGAGTGTCGACATATTGTTTTAATATAAGTGACGCTAACTGTCGCAACGACAAATCAAAGCTTTGATCGACTGTTATTTTCGCAAGATGAACACAAAAATCTTCTGTTACTTCTAATATTTTGATTTCCTGTTCCGCGGCTCGACGAATATTAGGATCAGGATTCATTGTTGCTGACAACGTCGATAAGATTTGTTCCGCCATGTTTTTATCGGACTGTGCCATGATGAAGATATATCGAATTCAGAAGAATTGAGACACATATATACAGTGTTATACTAATATATATAAATTGATTTTCAATTAGCACCTATAACATTGCTTTCTAAAAAATAATTGTAAGAATTATATTCTAGTAATTAGTAACCAAGCTCCGAAGTTCCAAAGTCATCAAGCTAATAGCAGGGTGACCTCAAAATATTTTTTCATCTCCGAGGGGTGTTTAGAGGGTGGTTATAGCGCTTTTATTCTGGACCACACTCTTATTAGTTGGCACTGATACACAAATGCCTATCGTATAATAAATGCTGAAATGCTAAAATTTTATCATTTGGAAATATTACAAAGAAAATGCTGATAATTTCTAATCATAGTTCAAAGCAATATCCATATATATTTCATTGGAAAGTTATACCGGTAGTCATTTAGCAAAATACCAAAAGAAAACGTCAGTTTGCCAGAACAGCTTTCTGGCTTTTACAAATTTGGTGCTTTTGGTTTAACGGGGAAGTTGGACTGAGTGAACGCAAGTCAATCAATCATCATTTTATTCGTCAGCACAAAATAAACGTATCATAGGGAAAAAAAACATTTCAAACGCAATATGAACTTAACTTAAGTTGTGTGACAGGAGTCGCGAGGGACCTCATAAGGTCTTCAGGCAGCGACACCTTAAAAGCTCGCTGATTCAGGTTAGTGAGCACGAAAAATTAATGAAACACCAAAACACTTCAAAAAATATTATAAGAAAAAAAGCAAAACAAAATATTAAAAAATATGTTTCATGAGTGGTTTGTAAAAGCAAAACATTACAGTTATGAGCATGTTTCTTAAAATCCACAACCAACGATGCAACTGAATGCACTGTATATAGAAAGGAAAATAAATGTCAAATAATATACTGTATCAATTACTCAAACGGGATCAGCCATTGTCCCGATCATCGGCATGGCGTAAGCAAGCAATTAATTAAAAATTTGATTCTCAGAAAGTCAGACTCCACGCACATCTGATTTTCCCGTAGAACAGAGCGTGGATAGACAGAATCGAATGTTTGGTCAGAAAAATAGGGCTTGGGGGTTAGTTGCAAAGAAAAGCAGTAACGGTACAGGTACCGGTAGTGGTTAATTATCAGTTCAAAGAAAGGTAGTCACTAATGTACTTCATTTTTAGTTCTCTTAAAACCATGATAAGACAGTGATCTTAGGGTACCTGATATATTGTTCCATAACTTCACACCAATGTATTTGATGGATTTCTGCGTTCTAAATGATGTGTATCTCGGTACATGGAAGGCACCTTGTGAAGCCGATCTTGTGCAATACGAATAAACGCTAGTTTGCTTGGTGAAATAACCTACAAATGCTCTTGGAAGTTTGCCGTCAAAGTACTGGTGGATAAATTTCAATACCTCGAATACCTCGGACGTGGCAAAGTTTCATTATTTTGAATTTACGGTACAAGGGGTCAAGTCTGGATCGTAAGGGTGCATCACCTATAGCTCTGATCGATTTATTTTGCAATACCTCCAATCTGCGAAGTAAGTTGGAGGATGCGCTTCCCCATGCTACAATACCATACTGAAGATATGACTGAAAGAGTGAAAAATAAACTAATCGCAAAGCCCATGTGGTGAGAAATTTTTAAGTTTAAATAATATACCTGCTGTTCTACCTAGCTTGCCCGCGATGTAGTTGATGTGTGTTGCCCATTTTAACTGATTATCAATGTGTATGCCCAAGTATTTGTAGGAGTCCACATTATCAAGTAAAATGCCATTAATGGAAATTTGGAACAAGAACCTATTTCTGTCATTTCTATTGGAGTTAATGAAAGGGGATTTGGATTTTGCAATATTTATAGTTAGTTTATTGACAGTCATCCAAGTTGCAATTTTTTGCATTTCAGAGTTCATGTGCATTTCCAAGTTGTTTGGTGAAACTGAACTACCGAATAATCCGGTATCGTCAGCGAAGAGTTTGACCAATAATTTGGTGGCATGAGGAAGATCGTTGACGAATAATACGATCAGTAATGGGCCAATTATTGTGCCCTGTGGAATTCCGCATTGCACAGTTGAGAATGTGGAGCAATTTGTCCCTACCTTGACATCTGAACTCATTAATTAGACTCAAGATTTATATGAACTCTGACTCGACATGGCGATTGGAGTGTTTATGAACTTGTAGTCTACAGTCTGACTGTCATTACAAATCATTAACAACTGCTATTACTGTATTATCAGATGTAAGGCTGTAAGGGCCGCAAGCCCGCAGTGATACCGGTACCGTACCGGCCGGCAGACCGGTATAAGTCAAGCAGTTAAGCTTAAGATAACGGACGTCCCACCCTGTCCCATATTGGTTAAGATGTTAACTAAACGCACTTGAGGGCAACTGTTACGCTGAAAATCAATTCATAAATCCCATATCAAACTGCCTAAAATTAGAGCGAACGATGACCGCGAGAATGGCGCGAACATGTAGTGGTGTATTTCATTTACCATTCCTGAGGTCAGAGGTCACAAGGATAGGATTTGCATATTTATCCCAGGGGAGAGGAAAGTCGATAAGACAGCTTGATCATATGGCAAACCACGGCCTCTCGTCCGGTTACCAGTCCAGGTCGGGTTACGTGAACCACCCTACGGTGGCGAAGAGTCCAGTAATCCTCTCGCACATGATCATCCCCGCATGGAATTCGAACCTGCGAACCCACGGAGGGTAATCAAAGATGCGGTGGCGAGTGTATTCCTAACGCTTAGCACGATGCGCCACACCGCCGAGCCACAACAATTTGTACGAGCCTTTATTGATACTATATTAAAAAGACCAAAATTTTTTTTGGGGTCGTCATTTTCTACCTAATATATCACAGCCTGAAGATAAAATTTGAATCAGATGTCTTCGATGTTCTATGAAAGCACGGCTAGGTCAGACGCTCAAATAACCGGTCGCCGTGTTATTTATCGTCAAGTTCGACACATTACGCCATCCTACAATCGAATACACTTTTAGAATATTTACAGCGAATTTGTTTTACTTCTCAAGTATTTGAACTCAAACAATCAACAAAGGGTCAAGTCACTAGAGCAGCGTTTCCTAAACTGTGTTCCGCAAGCATCTTCCATGTGTTCCGTGGAAAAGGGATTAAAATTACTTGTCAAGTTCATTATAAAGTTTACAGCAATCTTTTTGATTTTGGTATAGGAATATAGGCAAAAGTGCAGGCCTAAAGAATAAAGGCAAATGATTAACTCCTGTATCTTCATCTCCGCCTGGTTTTATATTGAAATGCTGAAAAAAATTACTCACGTTCGCTAGACTCGATTCAGCAGATAAACAAACCTCAGCTTGCTAAATTGCAGCAACTACTTCTATCTCCATTGTTACGTAACATTAGAGGCAAACACTACGTAATAGAAAGTAAACGACATAGAAAGGTAAAATGAATTTATTGAATCAAATACACAGCATTTAAAAAAGAAGCAATAAAACACCTATATTAAATGCTAGGCTATATGTAAAATATTTAATCATATTTTAGTTATGTTTAACACAATTCTGTTAGTTTTCGCATCGCTGTTTGCAACTCGCCATGGCGCACTAGTAGCGTACTCTTTGGGAACTGCTGCATTACACCATTTTTTTTTTTACCAATCTTGTCCTTTCATTTTTTGTTGTTCCGCGAGGCGAGATAAAAAGTGTAAGTGTTCAGTAATCAGTAATCAGTAATTTATTTTATCACCAAGAAATACACACTGTACATACAGAACGAGATAAGAAAAGAGAGGAAAATAATGCATTTCAGGGTGAAAGGGGACGCGATAAACCAGCATTGGTTATCGAGCAACGACACCTATGAATAGTCTAACATTGGGTTATACAAGAACAAAAATCGAACTAAATACAATACTAAAGTGAGGAGTCGGACGCCAAAATACTAACATTGGCAGAAATATGTTTAAAAAGACCGGATATTTCCGGACTCACTAAGCAAAAGACTCCGAACGCCGACTGGCAGATAACCATGACAACTACGGCACAAATACGGTAACGTCTAAGTGACTGGAGCACCATATTGCAAGCTGAGTTGGACGGTACCGGCCCTGTGCTGATGCATGGTTCATAAAGGCTGGGGACGAATTTGTACACGAGGATAATATGAAGAGAGAAAAAAGAATAAAATGTATCTACAGGTTTGGGCAACGGATTAAGAGATCACTAAACCAGGTAATTGCATTGAGTTACATTACTTACAAATAGTCATTTTGTGTGGCATAAATATAACTAATTTCAGAATTTTAAATCACAACGGTTCTGAAGTGCGATCGAATAGGTCATGTAGAATATAGAAATCATTGAATAAAAAAATGTATATACACAACTGTTCAACAGTTCAATAGGACAGTTCATGCAGAATTTATGTCAATAAATTACATAAATTTAAAGTCACAGCAGTACAATAGCCTACTATGATAAGGCAATTCATGCAGAATATATAAGTCACTCAATTATAAAAATGGAAAATTCACAGAATTACAAACATATAAAATAAATATACTAATAATATGGGTCAGTCGGACAGCTGATCAACATAATCCCATTTTGGCCTAGACTGTGCTGTCAAATCTACTGGAACCAGAATCCTGGCATATGCTGGCTCTTATTTTTGAGACATTTTGTTTTTGAAAAAGCGTAAATGTACCTCCACATATATCTGTGAGGGCATAAGTGAGTCAGTATATTAACAATATATATCAATAAAAGTATTTTAAGTAGATATCCGAAAAATTGCCAAATAAACATTGATAATTCCATTTATTAAGAATAGTAAAATGTTTACTACAGGTTACTTGGACTCGAGGACTGTGGATCAAGTCGAGTAAACTCATTGTATGATCAAGTAATCCTGGAGAATTCACTTTGCAAATTCAACTGGACCGGTAGGTGGAAATCATGAGTTTTTTATACTCTATTTTGAAAGTGGCATAAGAAGAATCACGTAGGGTTTGGGGTAGGTTATTCCAAATTCGCACACCTATGAATTTGAGGGACTTTTGGGATTTGGCAAGTGAGAAGCGAGGAACAAAGTAGTTTGCCTTGTTGAAGAACGAGTGTTATGTTCATGCACTGAACTTAGCGAGACAAAATAATTGTCAAAAGCTGCTGGTAATTGATTGTTTTGAAATTGATGCATAATTTTTGAGATTTCTAGTTTATGGATGTCAGTCAATTTAAGCACTCTAGTTTTATGGTATGAATAATTTAAATTCGAACGATATGGTGCTCTAGCGAGGATTCTAACGGCTCTATTCTGTAAAACCTCTAATCTATGCATGTTGGACTGAGTTGTAGAGCCCCAAGCAGCTATGGCATATTGTATATGAGATTGAAAAAGTGCAAAGTAAACGGTTCTCAAGGTGGAATTTTGTAAATAATTTTTTAGCTTTCCTAAAATCCCTACGGATCTTGACAGTTTTCTATGGATTTCAGTGGTGTGTGTATTCCATTTTAACTGACTATCAATGTGGAGCCCAAGATATTTATAAGACGAGACTATTTCCAATTCGGAGCCTTTAATTTTTATTGAAAAATTCATATGTCTAATGCGAGAGTTTGGACTGAATAACATGACTTTAGATTTATCTATATTTACTGTAAGTTTATTGCATGTCATCCAGTCATGTATTTTATTTATTTCAGTGTTCACCTTATTTTGTAATGTGGTCAAATCTGTCGCACTGGCAAGCAGACAAGCGTCATCAGCAAATAATTTGCTCAAAAGATTTGAGCTGTTAGATAAGTCGTTTATGAAATTCAGAAACGCAAGAGGTCCAAGTACAGATCCTTGCACAATTCCACAATGAATGGGCATCATTGGAGATCTATAGGAACCCAATTCAACATATTGGAATCTATTGGCCAGGTAATCACATAGTAATTTGCCCGCGGTACCTCTGAAACCGTAATGTGCTAACTTATGAGTAAGGATACTGTGATTCACTGTATCGAAAGCTTTTTTAAGATCTAAAAAAGTGCAGCAGACGAACTCGCCTTTGTCTATTTTATCATAAATGTATGAAGTAACGTCAAGAATAGCATGACTTGTTGAGTGACTAGTCTGAAATCCAAATTGACTTTTGTCGATTAGGTTAAATTTGGTACAAAAACTGATCATTCTAGTATGCAATAATTTTTCCAAAATAATGCCAATAGAAGATAAGACAGAAATTGGTCTATAATTTGAGGGATTATTTTTGTTGCCATTTTTAAATATTGGTATAACTCTGGCTATCTTTAAAGACGAAGGAAATATTCCTAAACGAAAAGAATTATTGAATAAAAGACTTAGTGCTGGTGAAATAATATCACCAACTATTTTCAGGAAGTAAGAGGAGATGCCATCGTGACCAACTGCTTTGCCCTTTTTCAGATTCTTAATGGTATGAAAAACTTCCGATGGTGTTGTTTGCTCGAGGAAAAAAGAATTCTTCAGAGGAGTACCCAAGAATTCCATAAAAGATTTTGTGCTATATGGGATTTTGTCTGCAAGCTTCTTTCCTATAGTCGAGAAGAATTTGTTGAATTCTGCAGCCACTAGAACTGGGTCTGTGACAGAGGTACCATTTTCAAGTAGCACTTCAGGGATGGTAGTTTCACCCCTGGACTTGACTCTGATAATGTCATTTATGGTTTTCCAAGTTCGTTTAACATCTCCTCTGTTGTTCTCAAGGATATTGTGATAATACATTTGTTTAGATTTTCGTTGTAAATGCGTCAAAATGTTTTTGTAATTTTTAAAGTACAGACGATTAGTAGTATTACCATTCAAGTACTTTTTTTTAAACATATTATTTTTGTTTTTAATGGACCTTCGGATTCCTCTGGTGATCCAAGGTTTAGAATATAATTTATTTTCTCGACGAGAGAAAGGTGTTCCGTGGCGAAAAAAGTTTGGGAAACGCTGCACTAGAGAATAGCCTATGAACGAAGCATGCAAAAATATGAATCAACATATACTCCTTTACCAGGCGATTGATTACGAAATTTGTGCGTAAGCTTCGACTCTTTGTTTTCTTCATTGAAAGAAGCTTTTCGTATCTATCACGGAGTAGAAAACATGAAAAACGGTTTAATCATAAAGGGAACCAACTCCATGCATCAGTAACCAATAACAGATTGACTATAACCATACCCGACATGAACTGGGGATCGGACGAGCGACAGTGGCTAGGGATGGTTTTTGTGAGGGTTACATATTTATCCCGAGGGAGGGGAGAACCGATAAGAAGGCTCAATGATATGGCTAACCACGGCCTCTCGTCCGGTTACAAGCCTATGTCGGATATTGGATTAGTTATTTGTTTTCGGAAACATGGACCTGATGGTAGAGGACGCCGTAATCGACCAGCGGTTACTTGAACCTCTGAGATAGGATCAAGCAATCTCATCGACTTCCCTATTCCTCGGGATAAATGTGAAATTCCCAACCATGGTCTGTCGCCAGCCCAAAAATTGGGGGAATCGGCAATCGACCAGCGGTGTCGCAGAGCATAGGTTCTCAAAGTGCTCCGTACGGAGTCCCAGGGCTCCGCGAGAGAAACCCAGGGGCTCCGCGAGCTATTCGATTACTCTTCAAAATACTGACTCAAAATTTTGTAACTGTTCAAAGAAGCAATGACAGCTTTGATAAAATCTGACAACAATATAGTCTCGAAATATGGTAAAGAGGCGGAATCAAATAATGACATTATTTATAAGCAGTGTCGCAGCCAGGATTCTTAAGAGGGAGGTGGTTTAAAATTGGAATCGGAAATTTCCGCGCAACATTCTTCGCGATTAAAAAAAGGGATAACGAGATTTCTGTTGCGTAAAATATTCAATCCATGACCAATGGAGCATTTAACGTGACTCGTCGTTATAATGTCGTTACTCACGTTTGATTCGAGATTACTATTATGATTACTAAAATGAAAGAATACTATTCTAAAATAACATAAAATATGTCATAAACTGCCAACTATAAATAAATTGGGGTCCTATTTTTTGCGATCTTGGGATTTGTCAAACTTGATTTGTTCTTTCGCACTTGAGATTATTTTTAAGCAAGATATCGCCGTTTAAAAAATCACAATGTCTGGGCAAAATACGAACAATTGAAAATTATTTTATTGCATTCAGCTCCGTCGGTAGTTTCAGAATGAAAAAAGGTACATCGCGGATCGCGCGCACAATTGATTGCGTGCGGCTGCGTCGGTAGTTTCAGAATAGGAAAAAACAGGTGCATCGCGCGCACAATTGACTGTGTTTCGATTTCGCAGTTACTACGATAAAAAGCTAACATAACACCAACTTTTGTGATTTACAATGTCTATAGAAGCGTTTTCAATCTGAAGTGAGTCTGCTGAAACCTGCTGTGTCTGCTGTGATCTTCCATTTTAAGTTTTAATATTTCAGAATGCCGTTTTTCAATCAAGAAATTTGAGTTGTGGATTTACCTCTTTATTGATTATTATTTTTAGCATTTCGTCGCCGATGACTATAATATGGTAACATGTTTTTCACATTGAACTTATAATTCCCCATAAGAACAAAAAAGCAATTTTACGTCGTCATTGTGTAACAATACATGTATATGCCGAGGGAAATATTTGATTTAGGGAGAATAAACACCGGCGTAAAGATGTTTACATGCTGACGAAAAAAATCGGCGATTGTAACGAAATGAAATCGCGAACGTTATTAACGGCCTTTTATGTCTTTCAAAAATGTCAAAAGAGAAAAGATTCGACCCCTAATTTATTAATATGTTCGTCAAGTGTCAAATTTACAGCTTTAGTATGATATTTAGGTTTATTTATGACTTGTGTTAACCCTATTAAAAAAGGTTCAGCATTTAAAATAATTAAAGTACATTTGACTTGCTCAGGAATATTAATCTGAAAGTAACAATTTTAACATTTATTTTGGGGCTCCGCGAATAATATTCAACCTTTCAAGGGCTCCACAACATCAAAAGTTTGAGAACCCCTGTCGCAGAGTACACATAAAGGAATCTGATTATTTTTTCGCAAAAACAAAACTCACTGGATATTCGGCAAAGCCAACAGAGTGACCGCAGACCGGAATTGTCACAACTCACACGTGATTTAAGGTATCAGCAATCTTAATGGTAGTCATTCCGGCAACTGTTACAAAGCGACTCCCTTCGAAAATAGGCCTCTTTGCGCTCGGAAACTGCTCCGAAGTGGGCAAATTGCAATCTACCAGGCAACGGCCGTAAGATAATTGACGTTGAACAACACACACATATTCCAAATATTTAGCATACATGGCCCTATATATAGAATCTAATAGGCCACTTCCTAAATTCAAAACGCAGTAGCTACAAAATGGTTGTATTTTTATTATTTCTGGCATACAAATGAAGATCATGCAAAACACACTGATGACATTGTTGAACAATGGAACAGTAAACACACACTGTGACATCACATAGACTCTCTGGGACTACACAATTTGTTAAATCAGTGAGGGTGATCTGGTCTTCTTTGTCTAAAAGTAAAAATATACATTATTCTGAAATAAAAAGTGCAAAAGAATGGCATGGTTGAATATATTATTTTTTGAATAATGAAAAAGGGGTCTTATTTCACCGAAACACACACACAATATATTTCCTTAAACCTTGAAAACAGCTTAACACATAAATCAGTTTCTAGTGTTTCACATCAGCTAGAATTATACATATAGAACGAAATTAGGAGAGGGAGATCGAACATCTTGAAATTTTGGATATTTTATTTTATAAGAAAATGATTCTTATATCCTTAATTTTAATCAAGAAAAGTTAAAAGAAATATAATTTTTCTGCAAAAAAAGCACAATATTTTGAAAAAAAAATTGTAATTACTGAATTCATGAAAACTTTTATTTTTTGAACGTTTCAGCTTGGTTTCTAGTGTTTTTTGACGGTTTTTCACTGTTTTAGCAAGGTTTCTAGGGTTTTTTTGGCGGTTTTTTTTACTGTTTTTTAATGTTTTAGCATGGTTTCTAGTGTTTTTCAAAAACTTCATTTTTTTAGCAGCATTACTTTTGAATACCTTAAATTTAACAAAGTGAATTTTTAGACAACAAAAGATTTTTTCATAATTTTCATTCCAATTCGAGTCACAACGACACTAACACCCCCCACAATGAGAAAAAGCCAGAAGCAACCACTTTTGGTCAAGACACAGCTCATTTTTAACTATCATTTCTTTCTTTCACCCATTGTTTTTGCTTTTTATACCTTTCCCATAATACCTTAATAATAATAATTCATCTCAAACAAATTACCTCGGAGCAGCCCTTATGATGTCATCAACTCTGAGAATCATTTCTGCGGCCTCCGAAGCGCTCATCAGCACTTGTCGTTTCACTTGGAAGGATTCAGTGATGCCAAGTTCTTTCATGTCACCAACAGTTCCCTGGTTCATGTCTGAAATGGAACAGTAATGTCAAAAACGAGGAGTAAATAGTATTTTGATAATAAAGTGCGATATTGGAAGTTTGAATACAACAATATTTTGCAGGAGTACTTTAACTGATGTGTAATAGATGACGCAGTATGTTCATTCAATATTTCTTTGTTATGTTCAGATCAGAAGCACAGCCAGGCGGGTTGGGGTCGATCTCCCTATCCCTTCAAAATTTATGAAAGACTGAAAATGAAGTTACGCCATATTACATTATACACTGGAAAAGTGGCCCTTATAACAAGCAGGGAATCGTGGCGACTGTTTTTCCAATTTTGAACCCACCCACCCCCTCTCTCTTTTGAAAATCCCTGGCTTTGATTTTACTCGATCTGTTTAGCATGAACCAAAGATGGTGTTTCCGAGGCCTTTCAAAACTGTCACCCATTTAGCTGGAGTCTCACAACCTCGCTATGGGCCAACTCAAATGAACTACGGTGACAGATCAATTGGCAGCAATATTTTGGAAAAAAAAACTTGAAAATTGGCAAGTACAAATTGATATCATGTACAATCATGGAAGATAAAGGATAATTAAAATTCCAGAACGTTTTTTAAAATATATTCAGTGCAACAACAATTTTGGTTTAGGATTCTTATTTATGAATGTATTTTTTGAAAATGGCAGCTCTTTTTAGTTTCAATATCAGATTTGATAGACAAGAGGGCCAAGCTTTTATCTGCAACCCTAGACAACCTGTGATATCTCGGCTTGGATAGGCTCGGCGTTGTGGCGCAACGTTCTGGGTGTTCGGAACATGCTCGACACCCCTCTTCTTATTACCCTGCATGGGTTCACAAGTCCCATGCGAGGATAGTTATGTGCAAGAGGATTACTAGACTCCTCGCCGCCTTAGGGTGGTTCACGTAACCGCTGGTCGGTTACGACTTCCTCCACTATCAAGTCTGTGCATGTGAAATAAATTACTGGCTAATCCCATACCTGACTTGGACTTGTAACTAGACAAGAGGGCGTGGTTTGACATAAGATTAAGTCATCTTATCGTCTATCTTCTTCTCCGGGATGAATATTGATATTTAGTAAATTCCACAACTACCTACTAGCACCTACCAAGCCCAGCATGCTTCTTTCCAGATGTATGTTCTGCTCTTAGTTGTGAAACAAGCTCAGCACTGTCATATCCTGCATTGTCAGCTATGATCATAGGAATCTGAAAGATTAGTAAAAAGCTGAATGTTAATCTAATCAAAAAATGTTCATGTGTGTCAAAAACTACTTGATTCAAGAGCCTTGCTGCAGACTAACATTAATGTATTTTTGTGAGACTTCTTGAAAGTGGAAATGTGCTCAGAATAAGTGTATTGATTCTTGTTGCAGTATCCTTGCATTGTTAGCATACAAATCATATCAGCTAGCACAAATGCAGAGAGAAAGGAAAGGTTGTTCATCTAGCAAAACTTCATGAATCAACTGAAGAAAAATACTCTCTTGCTATTTTGCAAGCAGGGATGCCCAATAAAAAAAAAAGAATGGAAACAAATTAAAGTTTAATTATACTCTTTTTTCAAAATTATGGTTTATATCAATCAGTGTTTGCTTGTAAACAATGTTCCCTCTAATTTTTTGTAGCATGTGTGCGCAGAAATTTTGGTGTGTGCGCACTTTTTTGGAAATGACTAATATTTGTGCAAAAACCAATGGAAAAATTTTGGCGTTCTAACCGGGTAATAAGTGGGCCAACAACAAACTTTCTCAACCTGCCAACCGAGCACATTGTTACATTACATCAAAATACGTCTGTGCGCAGTGAGTCTATGCGTGTGCGCAGCCTCTGAAAGCTGTGTGCGCACGCACACGCGCACACCTTAGAGGGAACACTGCTTGTAAATCAATCCTGTGAGTTCTAAATAAAAAATAATAAGCCTCAAACCTGTCTCAATGCTCTTGCAAACGATTCGATTGCCATTGCTTCTTTCCCGGGAGTTCTCGCCGCCAATTCATCAACTGCCTGAGCCATAATTGCCTCTGAACAGCCACCTGCACAAATATACATGCATTTTATTTATTAGACACGTTAGTGCACATAACAATCATTTTGCATTTTATGCTGGCACTCTTCTTCTTCTTCTATGACACGTTATGAAAAAGTCGCTTTTCCCTTTGATTACTGGACCAATTGCTTTAAAATTTTCAGCGGTTAAAATGGAATTTTTCTCTAGAAGGCTGTCACTTTTATTTATTTCTAAATTTCGTATGAATTCTATGAAATTTGCATTCATCAAGCATTCATCTATTGAATGACATTAAAACAGTTCAATTAGATGAGTTCTTCTACCTTGGGTTCTGTTTTGAATAATGCAACTCTCATATCGTGTCTCACGCCCATTCTGTATCGACATTTTGTTTTAATAGAGAGTAAAGTAGAAAAAGCTGCCGAGGTTAAAGTCGTCTCGCGGTCCCCCTGAAATACTTTGCGGTCCCTGAAGCGACCGCCGACCTCATTTTGAGAACCAATGCTTTATTTGCTTATCATTTACTGATGTGATATTGATAGTGTCTGATATGTGAATGCAATTACCAAGAAACATTGGTTTAGCTATTTACTTCAGAACAAAATTACTTTCCACAATTCTAGAATGAGGGTGTAAGAAGCAGTTGATAATTTAAAAAGAGATGTGAAAGGGGGAAAAGTTTAAGAAGCACTGCTGGTGATGGAACTATAGATAACAGTAGTTGCCAACCTGTTTTATGAGTACCCTCATAGATACAATCAAGAAACAGTTATTAGAATAGATAGTGAATTTCATACAAAGTTTAACCAAGAAGATCTTCACCCACCTCCAAACACAGTTCTTGTTTCTTTAACCGTTTGTGACAAAACACACAGCGCATCGTGAAGAGAGCGTTCTGACTCATCTAAAATTTGTTGAGTCGCTCCTCGAAGGATGATTGTGCATGCTTCAGCTTTTTCAACACCTAATATAAAAAATTTAGAAAAGTTAGTTTGAAACTTTACCACAAGCGCAAACCATAAAGCAAATGTCTTAATAAAGCAGTCATTTTGGTCTTCAGAATTAAGTTGCAATGCTCGAAAAATAGTCAAAGAATAAATAAATTCTTATATTGACTAGATCAGCATTTTTCAAACAGGGCTGTCGATAGATAAAGGGGGTCTTATTAAAGCGGTTTTCTGAGGGCTATGATCAAAAGCCTACAAATCCATGCATCTAGATTCTAGAACAAATAACAGGAAACTGTTTCCATACCTGACAAAAAATGGTTTTGGACAAGAAATAAATTTTTTGCTTGAAATGAATACGAGAATCCCACTATTTCTACTATATTCATTCGTGGTAACTGCGAATATTTAAAACTAATTGAATGTGATTTGTTTAATTCATTCACTGTTATGTATTTGTTGTCTTGCATTAATTTGTTAGCTTTTTATTTTTTAATTTGTTCATGTACAAAAATACTGATGGACCTGTTCAAGACAAAACTGAGTATTTTCATTGAAGAGCCAGGGCTACTATAAATCAATAAAAATGAAACTCATACCTGAGAATTTGATCATTTTATCTTCGCCGATAATAATTTCTTCAATTAATTTACAAGTTCCGATTTTCACAAGGTCTGGACGATCGAAAGTCGAGCAGATTTCTCCCCCGAGAACAAGAGCGAGGCGTTCAATTCCTTCGAAATCTGCATGTTCGATCGCCATCACTCCTTGATCAGCAAACAATTGTTCAGGGTAATTGTAGATGAGTTGTCTGTGAAAAAAAAACGATGGGTGTGATTCAAATAAACTAAATTTTTTAAAAATATTACTGGTTTAACTTTTCCTGTAAGTCATCTTCAAATAATGATCCAAACGAATATGGTGGGAGTTGATCTCGATAGCCTCATGGTCGTATCGCCTTTCCAGTCTATACCAAAACAATTTTATTGCTGTTGCTAATTTACTGCATTGATGTTTCAGTTGACAAAATAAGAAGTCTCTCTCTCTCTCTAAATAGATAGCCATTTTTCGTAGCTTCAAATGTTTTTTAGACCCCAAGACTAATAAAAACACGCGTATTTGATCGGATCCGCTAGCTCGATCTAACTTGGCAAAAAAAAAAATTCATAACCCCCCAAACCGCCCCCCCCCCTTTGAAAATTTCTGGCTACGCCCCTGCATAAGGTACCTCAAGCTATAAGACGCAGAGGTTTTTAAAGAGTTACAAATGGCAATTCCTAAATAAAACAACCAATACTGGTCTTGAAGGTATGAAGCATAAAGCACTACCAAATCCATATATTAGGTGCACCAGCTTATAAGGCACGCACACGATTTTTGGGAAATTAGGGATTTAAAGTGCCCCTTGTGGTGAGTAAAACACAGTAATTTTAAAGGTACACTCGTAGTGTGTGTACAAGGTTAGGGTTAGAGCATAATTTTATTTCAATTTTCCCTTATTTCATTTCTATTACGAGTTCGGGGACTGTCTGTGTTAGCCAAGTGCCTATAGGCTTCCGTCACTTCACACAACTCGATGTAAAGTATGCGAAAAGAGTAGTTACCTCCATATTGGTACACATATTTCTGGAGCGACGTTTTAAAAGTGTGGATGCATCACAATGTCTTACTTTTCTGTTTTACAGCATTTTATAACAAATTTCACATTTTTCATAATTTTATTTAGGAACAAAATGTTCCGGATAGGAGAGAACTAAAATTATAAATTTGATGATCTCTATGAAATTATAAATCAAATTTACATGTTTATGTTATATGTTTGTTTGTTCGTCCCGTAAAAGTAATATAAAAGAGTTGACAATTATCAATATTGAAAAAGGGATGTATGCACGAGAACATACAGACCTATAACAAGGATGTGTGGCATGCACCCCCCCTTTTGATAAGTATCAAAAAAATAAAAACGTTAAGTCAAATATGTATAATATAGTCCCTTATACAGATAGTTATGCAAGAGAAGGTGGTGGGTGGGTGTATCAATATGGAGGTAACTAATTTTGTTCGCCTATTTTACATTAAGTTGTGTAAAGGGACTGAAACCTATGGGCAGGGGGTATATTCACTTGGCATGGCTAACACAGACAGTCACCGTACTCTATTATGAGAATACTGTGCAAGGGTGGGTGAGTAACAGGGGTAAGCCAACATAGTCAAACCCTCCAACTACTATGCAATTGAGCCTTCAAATTGCTATTTTACATTTGTTTTTCTCACCTATTAATGAAACAGCTGATGTTGTGAGAGATAATCTTGTCGACTTTTTCCTTCATTTTCTGTTTTTCTGCGAGTTCTATTTCAGCAACTTTTGCTGTACCATCGACTCGAACTCTGGAACCAAAAATCTGAAAATAAAGTTGTATTTGGACACATTAGTAGACATAACAATCGCTTCAATATTATGTTGTTGTTCTTATTGTTCTTGTTATTTGACACATTTTTGAAAAGTCGCTTTTCTTTTTGAATACTGGACCATTGCTTTAAAATTTTCAGTGGTTAAAGATGGAATTTTTTTCTAGAAGGCTATTACTTTTATTAATTTCAACTATTCCTGTGAGCTTTATGGGATTCGTTTTTATTTTGAGCTATGACGTCATCAGAATTTGCCACCATGTGGCGATTCCGCAAACATATATTGATCATGTGATCAGCGAACAGGTTCCATAGCCAAGCTTGCTGGTTACTGCAAGTTTCTGAACCGTACCACAGTGAATTTCAGCGTAACATGTCCATATATTTGAGCATAGCTCTCTTGTTTTAGAAGATATAGCTGTAGGAGATGACAGCTACAAGGAGCCAGGCCTCACACGATGTCATTTCCTCATTATTTAAATTTATGTGAGTAGGGGTACTAAAGCGAATCAAATATCTTAAATTAAGGAATAATTTAGAACGGTGATATTCAACCGGGCATACTGCATACCGAAGTGTATACCAAGTCAGATCACAGGAATACAAATACCAAATGACATACAAGGGTTTACAGCTATAGCCTGGGCCGAATATACTTTCCGGCCTTATTTGTAAAGTGCTCGCCTGTCCACGACAGTTCTAGAAAAAATTGGCGCAAGAGCATTTTGCTGTAAAACAAGTATTTTGTGATAAAAACAGGTTTATAAAGTTAGGGTATATGCTCTTAAATTACGAATCTGTTTTAAATAAACAGGTACTTTAAAAACATAACTGTTTTTATCACAAATACTTGTTTTATGGCAAAATGCTCTTACGACGAATTTTCCTGTGACGAGATTTCCGGACACGGCCCATGACCACGAATATTGCAAGATGAACTACTCGAGCGATTAGAACCCATCTTGTGCAAAAAATAATTAATGGCGGAGAGATATACAGTAGAGGTTACGGCTATGTTATTTGCAAAAGTCTGGATACAAGCTACAGTCATAAAATCAACATTAATTTCTACATTTTTTGGTGATTTAGCGGTACTCCTGAAGTATGCGCACCAAGATATCGCATAACCTGAACCCTAACCTAGTACACAACCTGAGTTCTTGACTTAACCAAACAACCTTTTCCTACTTTATATTATTAAATAACCTTTGTTATTTGCAAGGTATATACGAAGAAAAATTGAAAAAGGTGTAACATGCAGTAAAAGGTTGAAGAGCACTGATTTAGAATATTTTATGAAGCCCGCGAAGCTATGCTTCTGCAATCCACCATTTCGTACAGGATTTCTGAAACTGACGGTTCCCTGTGAGTCATGAGCATTTACCTTTTCTAGGTAGTAAGTCCCATGACATTAATTTGAAGCATTTGGTCAATATTCATCACTAGTAAAAACTAAGATAAACCATTTCATAGCTGTTGACGTGCAAATCAAACGAAAATGAAACAGAACAGGTAAAACAAAAACAAACCTTAATTTTATCAGTATCCATTGCCGTATTAGCGAGCAAAATCTTAGCATTTTCGATCCGTTTCGGTTGATTGACTCCAATTTTTTTATCAAGAATAAATCCTTCGTCCAATTTTGAATCTGTCATGGTTCCTCCAAGCTTCTTGATAATCTGGAAAATAAGGTGATTTCTTGTTAAATTTAAATTAACTTCCCTGTTTACTTCCCTATTATTAACCAATCAGCATGCGTGATCCTCTTTATCACCATTTTTCAATCTCGCTCTACTACTCCGAAATGCAGCTCATTCCTTCTGTTTGTGCGTAATAGGATGGGATTTACATCTTTATCCAGGGGGAGAGGAATGCCGCTAAGACAGCTCTATCATATGGCAAACCACTGCCTTTAGTACGGTTCAGTCCATGTCAGGTATGGGATTAGTCAGCCAGTTATCTGTTTGAGATGCTTGATGGTGGAGGAAGCCGTAACCAACCAGCAGTTACGTGAACCCCCATACATCAACGAAGAGTCCAGCAATCATCTCGGGCAGAAGTATCCGCACACGATTTGACCCTGCGTACTCCTGCGGGGTAATTTTATGTGCGTTGAACATATTCCTAACACTTAGCACAAAGGGCCACATCACCAAATGTCATGGTTTCAACAGGCCAGCCTTTGGCAATTTAGTCAATGCACATAACTTTTCTCAGAGATGAGTCTTTTTTATTCTGAAAAAAAAAAAAAAGTATTTTACTTGAATAGCTTCCAAGTTTCCACTTCCTCTTAGTCTCAGAACAGCATCAACGGCCATCTTTGCAAAGAAATCTTTATGTTGTGTCAGAAGTTTTGAGCTCAAAGTTGTTCTAGCAATATTCATCAGATCTTCACGGAATTTGACGGGATCATTTCTGAAAAATTTCATATTAGTAATTTATTATTGGAAAACATCGTGTTAGTCTGGTATAGCGTACATTCGGTAATGAATGTGTAAATCACAAGCCTTGCAAGGAATGGCGGCAATGTTCACCAAGCAACCGTGCCGCACGCTCGCCCAGAAGGTAAACAATCAAAGTCCCGATTCTATTTCATTGTCATTAAAAATACGTGACAAAACGCAAATATTCGTTTGAAGATTTCCCTCAAAAACAAAACACAGTGCTGATGGTGAAAAGTGGCTATTATTCAGAAATTAGCCGTAAAAGTATTCGATATATATTTAATTTGATATATTATATTCAAATATTCAATTCGTTGGACAACGCTGGTTGAACAATCTTAATTTGAAATATATTCAATATCCAAAATAAGATTCCAGGATGTATTCGGACTGGTAAATTATTCTGTGTTTGTCATCCCTGATGCGTAAAATTCGCAGACGAAACAAAAGTATTTTATAAAGAATTATAAAGAACCAAACTGACCCATTATCGATAGTGGAATCTAATAAAGCTTTTCTTGCAGCATCTGTCGCTCTTCTCCAACCAGCGATGATCGTCTGTGGATGAAGCTTCTGTGAAATCAACTTCTCTGCTTCCTGGAAATTTTTTTTGGATATTTAGATCTCACGAATATTTGAAAATTTGAAGATTTTTTTAATCAAATTCATGATATTTCTATCCAATTAAAGAGTCCAGCAGCACACTAACACAAATGTATTTCTGTAACATTTCGTCAGACTTCCTCAGACAAGCAGTTTGCAACAATCAAAGTTAGCAGTTACTCTTGCGCGAGTCAACTTAAATTTAAATTCATGATACATGACAATTCTACAAAGAGAAGAGCAATTAAGTATTATTTTCAAATTTCAAACTAATTTAATTGGATCAGGGGCCCAGCCAGAGGGGTGGTTTCGCAGGTGGAACCCACCCTTTTAAAAAGCATTTTTTATCATACATAGCAATTTTTCGTAGCCTAAAATGCTTTTTAGACCCTCAAGACCAGGGGTTCCTGATGCTTTTTTCAGGATGACCCGAAAGACAACTTTTAAGTGTCCAGTGCGACCCCAGGTCAATATATATTTTTTCACAAAACTTCAGAGCTTCTTTCACTGGACTTTTGAGATTGGTCATGTGGTGGTATTAAGTAAAATAAGCTAAAACCAAACAGTGATGTCACAATAAGCACCTACATTTTCTATAGCATAAGCATAGAGCGATGCCTATGAGCCTGTTTTACAGTAAGCCATGGTACAAACTGCCAAATTTAACATGGTTTGTCAAATCTTAGATGTTTTGCACATCCATCCTATATCTTACCTCAGCGACCCCAAGACTTGTTTGCGACCCTACCTACTTATCACTTCGACCCAATTTGGGGTCGCTATCCCTGGTTTGGGAACCCCTGCACAAGACTCTTGAAAACCCATGTATTCCGTGGACCCGCTAGCCGTCTCAGTCTAACTTGGCAGTAACAGATTTCCCTTCCTCCCTCCCTTTAAAAATCCCTGGCCACACCCTTAAATCAGACATCTTAATGTTGGTCCTGAGTTCCTTGCAGATCTGGCAAATCTGTGCTGTCATCAATGCTGAACAGAGTACTGAAGGCACATACAAATAGCACAATCGAACGCCTTGCTTGGCCTCTCACAGATGAGTGACCCCTACTACAATTTAGAACTTACTCTCAATAACTCAGAAGCAAGCACAGTAACTGACGTTGTTCCATCTCCTACTTCATCATCTTGAACTTTGGACATATCTGGGGATTAGAAAATAAAAAATTTAAATTTAAATGATGAAGCAATAGCAATTAAGTTCGTTTCGACGCAATGAAGGTTTGGGAGCAGAGCTATCAATCACACTAAAACCTTATGTACAAACTGCTTATTTATACCATAATCATTGTTTGAAGATCGAGAGGTGTTAGATTTAATGCAAAGATATAAATCTAGAATACTATTACTATCTGCATATGCTCGGTATCAAAACCTATAGTAGAGCCACTCAGCTCAAACAGAGTAGCTGAATCGAATTATTGAAAACGCGCCGTTGCATATCTGATTATCGTTATGCGAGATCAGATTCCACGTTGTAAGAGATATTTATTTGAGAGGGTTCTTGGACTCCTTACATTTGTATGGTGGTTCAATGACAACCGATCAATTACAGCTTCCATCACCATAAAGTCAATTACTGTGAGTCAAACAATAATATACTCGTATTCCATACCCGGCACGGACTGGTAAACAAACAAGAATATCGGTCGGAGACCGAAGACTTATCGATCGAAACAGCGGTTTCGATTCATGACTCTATAGTGACACCGCGTGTCCCATCACTAATTAATTATTAACTCGCTAATTATACGACATAATTCATCCAAAATTAATAGGCTTCTGGTCCGAGATATGATGAATGCACATGCAAAATTTGGAGCAGATTCAACCACGCCTTTGTGAAATATCGCGTGCATCTAACAGACAAACAGACAGACAAATACTTATCAACATACTTAAGTAATGAGAGGCTGAGTTTTATTGTATAATAAGATAACCGAACATGGCGATATTTCTATGTGCAGGTTCTTAGGTTTGATTCTCTTGTGGATGTTCATGTAAGAGGGGATACTATATTGAACAAGGTAGCAACTAGCAAGGCAATAGGTTGTAGTTTGCCAGGTAATTAACAGGCAGTTTTATCGGCTTTGGCTATCCCCAGTATAAATACAAAAATTTCATCCAAACTTACCAACTAAGACTTTAGCAGCAGGATTATCAACTCCGACAGCTTTTAATATTGTTGCTCCATCGTTTGTAACAGTGATGCCAGGTTCCAATCCTTCACGTCCGGCACTCATCAATATTTTATCCATTCCCTTTGGACCTAGCGTTGATTTCACGAGATCACCGATAGCAATTGCTCCAACAAATGAAGACTAAAAATTTAAATATGATTGCTGATTCCATAATTTTAAAAACTTCTCTCAAATCGAGGTGGATTCACACAGAAGTAAACAATACTCAACTTTGAGCAAAAATATGAATGGCAACTGAAATACCATGGGTAACCGAAACCACATAGTAAGAAAGACGAGCCATTTCTTTGAAGAGAATTTGCTCAAATCAAGGTCACACTCACTCACACAGAATTAAAACTAACTCATCTATGATTGAAGTTATGGTCGTTATGAAGTTACTGAATTGCCAGGAGCTAGTGAAACTATAGATTTATGGCTCATAAGTAAAGGAGACTCATCTCTGAGTCAAATTAAGAGCGACTGTTGAAATACCAAAAGTTACTGAAACTATGTCAGAATATAGATTCATGATGGTGCATTACATGCGCCAGACTCGAAGCAGTTTGAAAATCAAGAAAAAGCTTTGAGGTAGAAAATTTTACATGACTCATTTTCTGGGATAATACCTTTAATTAATTTGGCTTGAGCAAATTATTAAAAAAATTCTACCATAAAGGAAGATTCGATTGAAAAACATTGCTACTTTCAAAATTAATAGGATTCCTGCATATAAGTGATTATTTCTTCAACACCCATCCTAAATAGCCTACTCACCAATCTTGCGGTTTCTGCCTTTTCTTCATCTGCTCCAGCATTATAAATTGAGATTGGGCTTAAGGACATCTGAAACAGTAAAAATGAATTGGGTCATGCAAGGTAGAATACATGAATACAATTTTCCATATATATCTAACGTCTCATTACGTAATTTTAGGCGTTTGCGTAATATTAAAGGTGTGGTCCATTGCAGCAATTTCATTGTCAATCCAGTATGGCACACTATACAAATCGGGTGACATTGTCCCGTTTCAGAGAAACCCATTTACAGATGATCAGACACCCCTCCTTTGGGAGACGTCTGGACATTGTTGTCCCTCAATATCGGTAATAATACAGTATAATGAAGTTGCGAAAAATACTACAAAAAAGCGCAATCTAGTAATGGCATCATTGAATTCCTTGGGAAAAAATAATCCGATTTACCGAAAGAAAAAATATTTTACCGTAGCATTCGAGAGTTTTTAGCAAAAAATGGCAATTTTGGTCATGTGACGGCCGCGATTAATTTAGATTATTATTGAGACAAGCATGGTGTGATATGACGCATCTGACGTGGTCCCAGGCCAGTCTGGATTTCATGGCCTTTTTGAACGAGAAATCGGGCGTGCAATCAGAAATTCCCGCGTGCAAATAAGAATTCCTGGCGTGCAATTATAGCTCACGACGTGCAAAACAACTGCACTCGCGTGCAACTGACTTTGACATCAGATACCTCTCAATACATCCGCGTAAAATTACCGGTATCGGATAAAAAATACGTTGAATCAGAGAAAAAATGGACGTTTGACCTTGGACCCCAAACATTATTTCTACAGTTTGTCGCTAATTTTGAGAGTGTTTGTGCGACTTTGGATACCGGTACTGTTCAGTACATCCGCGTAAAATTATTGGATAAAAAATACGTTGAACCAGAGCAAAATGGACATACTTTGTCATTAATTTTGGTAGTGTTTTTACGTAGAATTAATGGATAAAAAATACGTCAAATTAGAGCAAAATGGACGTTTGACCTTTGACCCCAAACATTATTTTCATACTTTGTCACTAATTTTGGGAGTGTTTGAGCAACTTTAGATACCGGTACTGTTCAGTACATTCGTGTAGAATTATTGTATGAAAAATACGCTGAATCAGAGCCGTACTTGGCCATTGGTGCGGAGGCGATCTTTTCGTCCATAACTATTCTCACGGGATTCCTATTTCCTATCATTCAACACGATATGGACCTTTCCCCGAGCATCGACTTCCTTGTTTACTTCGTGACATTGGCCAATCAGCAAGATGCAAAAGAGGACGTAACAATGAGAGGAATTTTTCGCGGGTCAAAGGTTGGGGAAAGGTCCATGGTCTTTTTGCTTCGCAATATTTCGATCAGACCAAATCTTGCAAGCTGGTATTTGTCGACAATTGTGGAGGTATAATATTTTGGCATCTTTATATTACTGGATTATTGATTTTAAAACCATTTAAACTGATTTACATTGGTGAGCAATTGCAAATTTTCGGCGTGCAAAATTGATTTCGCTCGCGTGCATTTTTGCAGAGCGCTAGCGCCCTCGGGCGTGCACCTGCCATGGAATCCAGTCTGGGTCCCAGGTGCCCCTCGTTTGTGAGACACATAGAGTGTTTGTTTTATTGAGCCAAATTCTTGGAATTTGGATAGTGTGCTGTACTGTAATCAGACTTATCTGATGACCGATATGTAGTAATGTCATTACAACTATTTTTCAAATTCAATGATTTTGTGTCCAGGTATTACAGTATTATTAGTATCTACGTACTCACCATTTTGAAGGATAATTGTTTGAGATCACAGTTTGTAAATAAATTAGATTATGAATCTAAAAATGAAGACATAAATATGGAAATAGATGATATATCAAAATTTTATAGAATACTTTCTCTAAAAAATAAAATTGAATACTATCTTAAGAGGATAAAAATATAGCTGTTTAAAAACAGCCAGTCAAATACCGAAATATTTTAAATGAGATGGTGCTAAATTTGAGAAGCTCTGATAGAAAATATACAAAAGTATATTTGTAAGTATATACAGTCTGACAGTAGTAGGAAAGAGTTAATTTTATGCATCTTGCAAAACAAAACCTATGTTACCGATATTGTTTCAAGTGCATGGACTATCGGTACCAACTACACAACTAACAAGGTCAAAAAGTAAAAGTCTGGCGAATGGATTGCAGGATTAGATGTGCCATATACAGGGTGTCTCAAAAGTACAGAAGTATACACTTTTAATTTTGATTTGCTCTTCAGATACTCATAATAGCGCGTTCATATGTCTGTATGTAGTAAAATTTATGTAGTTTACATTTTTCATCAACCAGTCACCCCACGGAATGACAAGGAGATTAACCCAAGAAATGAGATGCAAAATTTCTGTTAGCAAGAAGCATATAAATCAGTAAGGCAAACTCAGCGCCTCTTTAACAGAGAATTTGAAACACCAATCTCCAAATGCAGCAACCAACGGAACTTACAATAGTTAGCTCAGGTATCGTATAGCTAGAAACAATACAGTCCTGGTATGTAACCTAATAGGCTTTAAAATTTCAACAACCAACAAACACAACTTGTATACACCAGACTAGCCTGTGAAAAACAAAAACAGAAGGTCGTCCGAAAACGCCCAACCGCCATTACAGCGTTACGGTTACTAAGATCGCCAGTCGAGAACATTCGGCGAGAGACCCATGCGTTGATGAGAAAGAAGTGACCGGAGCATTTGTTCAAATAATAAAACTCGGAAGCTAAATTCTCAAAAATCATCATAGTGATAGCTACTATAAATATTGTAACTCCTTATATACTAGAATTATTAATTTCAAAATACCTAATTTGAAAATATTACGTTGAAAATATATTTCAAAATTTGCTCATACATTCGAGTATGCATAAACAGACTCCTAACAACTATATCATATACTCCAGTTCCTATTTCAAGCGGTTTTATAACGACTGGTCATTAAAAGTTTCACCCGGTTTCACAGCGCTTCTTTCCGATTTTTGTTTTGAATACCAACTAATTAACAAAACGCAGAAATATTTGCGCAGCGTATGAACAGTATAATTAAGATTCAAATTGTGTAATACGAGAATGCGATACCATAATAATGCAACGTCAGACACCGTAATTTTCTATGCTTTCAGTTGCTGGCTCGGCGGTATGGCGCATCGTGGTGAGCGTTAGAAACCAGCTCGCCATCGCGCCCCTGATTACCCAACGTGGGTTCGCATCCCATAGGGAAATAATTAAGTGCGATTGCTGTACTACTCGCCGCTGCCGTGTGGTTCTCGTAACCGCTGATCGGATACGACTTCCTAAACCATCAAGTCCATGCATCTAAAACCAATTCCACACCCAACCGGACGAGGGGCCGTAGCTTGTCATACGATTAAACCGTATGGATATATTTTAATTGGAGTGTGTGCAAAAGAGGGAACATATCAGTCCAAACAACTGAGATGAACTATGGTTGCAATGGACCAAGGACGTGAACCACGCTTCGACGGAGATCGTGTGCCCAGCAATCTTCTCGCACATAATTATCCAACACAGCAGGCGAACCCAAACGGAGTAATCAGAGGGATAGGATTTACATTTACATATTTGTCCATGGAATAGGAATGCCGATAAGACGGCTTAATCATATGGCGAACCACGGCATCTCGTCCGGTTACCAGTCCATTTCGGATATGAGATTAGTTAGCCAGTTATTTGTTTCCGGAAGCATGGACAGCATTAGGCTATGCGATTTTTCACAACGATAACAACAATCAATCCAATCCCACTTATGAAAGTAAAAATAACAATTAAGAAAAATGATCCATGGATTCGCTTCGTATAATAGGCATGCAGTCTAGAGCAGTGGTTCCCGAACCGCGGCCACGGGCCAATTACGGCCCGCATAACGGTCAATATGGCTCGCCGAACTTTAGGATTTAACACTTTATGATTTCTTTGCGTTCTAGATACCGCCAAATGTTACGTCATTGTCAGAGTTCAAGCAGTAGTATATTCGAAACATTTCAATTATACCGGCATCTTAAATATTTTTATCGGAACCGGTATCATCACCTTGAGGGCGCTCCCCTCTCCTGACCCGCGAATATCCTTTCGCTTCCAATTTTGGTCCCCGGTTAATCAATCGGGAGTAGGAGTGCTTATTGGCCCTAATTGATATCTGAATGTTAGGGTATCCTCAAAGCGTCGATCGGAAGATTAACTGCATGACGTTAGAATTCAACGTTTTTAAAAAGTCCTGGAGCCCAAATTTCGGACTGAAACTAGTGGAGGCAACTAATTTGAAATTTCGAACTGAAACTAGTAACAGTTGTGCCGATGCCACAGTTTTGATGGTGCCAATTCAATTTTGTTACCAATTTTGTTCTGTCGGGAGCCAAAGTTGATGTTGAATATTTCTGATTGAAATTTGTAAGGTGGAATGAGAATTTCGTTACAACTGTTGCAAGGAGGCATGAACTTCGATTTCGACTCTTTTCTTTGACGTCTCTTCTTCCCAAGAGATACCCTCTCTTGATTAAAATTTAGGTATACGTGAAAGCAGTCAGTTTGATGAAATACAGTGACGTCAGAATCAATAAATTTCAATGAACATATGACGTCATAGGCAATACGACGAGTTCGCGATTGACGGCGATACACTGTGATGTGTTAACGGTATTCACGCCATATTAAGTTAACTTGTCCTAGTACAACTCAGTCGCAGTGTACATAAGGTATAGAAGTAGGTCACGCAGAGGTAAAGCACTGGAATTTCAAGATCAAATCTATGCCAAAGTAGATATAAAGCTTCAATCAGGTTGGGATTTTTATACTTGTCCCGGGGAAAAAAGAAAGGCCTACAAGATGGCTTACACATGTGTCTCATACGTTTTCCAAGTGATCCATAAAAACTACCAGGGCTACGCGGGATGAATCGAGGGCTCCGCGAGCTATTCGTTTACCTGTAACTGTCCAAAGAACCTATAAATACGTCCGAGTCATTAAATAACGTAGGCCTAAGTTTAATATACACAAAAACATTCATCGGTAAGTAACAATGTTTTTTTAAAATTTATTGCGGTGCTCTGTAAATGATACTCACCTCTTCACGGGCTCCAGAATACCAAAAGTCCGGGTCTCGCACGGGTTTAGTTGGCAAGTTATTTGTTTCAGATGCATGGACTTAATGATGGGGAGGCAGTAACCGGCCAGCGGGTAACTTCAGGCAAATGGTTGGAGACTAAGCATGTAACGTGGAAATCAGAAAATTAATAAGTCACTCCAAAGATTTTCTCGCAAATGGCGCAAACCGACTCACACTATATTGTGAATTCAACAAAATTTATAGTTATGTCAAGCATGAACGACATTAAATTTATTTTATTAAACATGTTATATCTTGAGCCATGTTTGCTCATGCATGCTTCAATTCCCTGCTACATTATACCCGACTTCCTTTATTACGTGTTGTAATTTCCTTTTAGACGTCTTTATGGTAAACGAGTTCATGGATATTGCGTAAAAATATTGTTAAATTTGACTACCATTCTGTCGTTAATGAGGTCATTACACCTAAAATGTGTACTTTGGGTTCGCCTTCAACAAATCATAATGATGGGAAGAACATCGATTACGTACGTTATTACAATCCGCTTGTATTAAATTTCGATAGAGTAAACAACTACAATAACGTAAAAATTGTCACACTTTTTTGCAGCGTTGACTGCTACTTTAGAATACAGCCACTGAGCAGAGAACTGACTAGTTTCTGATATTGATCGCGTAATTTGTGCTACAGTCGGTATCTTGTACTCGCATTCATGTATCCGTAAACGCTTAGGTTGGGCGTAAAAAGGATAAAATAATTAGTTAGGTGTTCCTCTCATTGGTCAACCAAAAGAAAGCTTCGTAATTGTTTTATTTAGAAGACGTTTAAAACTTCAGATCGAAATTGTAAATTTTGTGATTATATGAATGAATTCGACTCCGTTCGCAAAAAATCGACTGAGAGTAGGTGTTTTTGTATCAGTACTGCGAATAATTCCTTATCGAAGTAGAGGGCAAAGCGTCAATTTTATTGAGTGAAATATTGTACAGTTATTGTTGTTATCCAATGTTTGTTTAATATTGTATCATTTTTTTTGGTGAATAGCTATGATAAACAATGTGTATCGAAGCGCAGGAAGATTCGCGAGCATTGATGTCAAATATAGTGTTTGTTATGTTTGATTTATTTATTTAAATTAATTATGTTGTCATAAACATGTAAACAATACCGTGGAAATAAACAAGCAAAAACAATCAGAGAAGATGACAGTTTATCAATGATATAAAATAGTATTATATGCTCTGTTGATACAAAGCCATTCTTATCCGTACAATTGTTTCTATTCATAAATTTCTTTCTTTCTAAATCAATCCAGCAATATTTCCTCTGACGAATGCTAAACTTCCACGAACCACAGTAATTTTGATAGACGACATTACGGTGTATTAGGGTGCATAGAGCAGTGTGGCCCAACTTATTTGAGCTATTCCTTCTTTGGCCCATTTTAAGTTCCTATTCTTTGCCCAATACCCAAAAACTCAATTTGCTTTTGTTATCTAATCCAAAGATGTATTTGCTTGTGATGCATGCAAAGCGTACTGTGGCTTTCGTGAATTTGGAATAATTTATGATGTTTGCACATTATAATAATACTAAATAAGTAAAAAAATAGTATTACAACACGCCAATACAAAGTAAAATTTTCTCCCTCGGCTGGGAGACGTTGGCATAGAATTACCAATGGTTTTATTGATATATGCAGTGTCTTCGGAGATGCAGTTAATTAATTAGAAAATTACATATA